TCGGATTTGGGCCTGGAATTAAGACTAGGTCTGACCTGGGTCCTAGGCCTGGACCTTAGGGTCCTCGACCTGGAAATTGAGATTAGATCTATCCTGGACCTAGAATTTGGATCCTGGTCCTAAACCTCCCTAAGATAAAATAGGAGAAGATTAAGCCTGAGCCTGAAGAATCTGGACCTGGGATTAGATCTGAGCTGGCAAAGAGTTGAAAAATAGAAGATTAAGAATCGAAGATAGAAATTAGAATTCAAGAAATGAAATCATAATTTCTAAGACTTTCGATTTAAGAAATATAGATAATCCATGGCTATAGAATAAGATATAATTATGCAGATAGATCTCTTTATTATTTATTTATCTATCATTTCACTCATTCTTTCAATATATGATCAATTAAAGAAATTTAAGTTTAGTGACGGTCGTCTTTTCAAAATTACGTGAAAATAAAGAATATATTTATTTTGAAAGAATTGATTCAAAAATAATTATTGAAATTTCTTTTCCCGTTAATTTCTGATATTCCTATATCTGGATTCTTTCGAATTTCTCTCGGACGTCGTGCTCTTGCTCTAAATATCCGTGTTCTAATTCTAAACGCGTATTTAATTTGGTAATTCGGGAGTCGTTGAATTATCTTATATGGATTTAATCTAGATCTTAAATTCATAATATATCCGGGTGGGAATATCGAAATTAATATATTATTGAATCTATTTATTCGGAATTTTTTTTGAAGGATTAAATTCGTTCGCACCCGAAATCGATTCCCTAAGCTACCGACATATATTAGATTTCACGGAATTAAAGATATGATCGAATATATTCTCGTAATATTGCAATAATTCATATCTCCGAATCTTTATCTTTATTTCCGGAATTATTGACGGATTTCGAACTTCGTAGAATTAGAAATACGATCGAATATAACTTCGAAATCATCTTCGAATCTCAAGATTCGTTCCCCGAACTACTAATAGAAATCGGATTTCGCAGAATTAGAAGAACGATCGGATATATGCTCGTAATTTATGATATCGTTCCCAACCATATATGCCGTTCTCCGAACTACCGACGGATTCCAGATATAGATTTGCGAAAACGACCGAATAGCCATAATTTCTGGAATCATATCTATTGATATCCGAATTCCAAATTTCTTGCCCTGAGCCAGCGACGGATTCCAATCTTCACGAAATTAGAAATACGACCGAATATAAATTAATCTACGAGATTGCGCCCATTCGCCTCCGAATATAACCTCGTAATTTCCGAGATCGTATTCGACTCCCAAGCATCATTCCCCGAATTACCGACAGAATCCGGATTTCGTAGAATTAGAGATACGATCGGATATATTTTCATAATTTATGATATCGTATCCGAATTATAAACCCCGCTCCCCGAACTACCAACGGATTCCAGATATAGAACTAGAGCCACGACCGGGTAGAACCTCGTAATTTAATATATATTCGCTCCCGAATCGCAATCGTTATTCCCCGCACTATCGACGGATTCCGAAAAGCGAGTATAAATTCCAAAAGAACTATGGGGAGGTCCGCTGCTTCCGTGAGTTAGTACTCACTATCTACGCAACCCGAACCTATCCGTGACCCCGGCGGTCAGTCACTACCTCCCTGGCTCAGGACTGGTATGTTTAGGAAGCATCCGTGGCCAGGCGTTCAATCACCACCTCCCTACGTTATGTTCGGGCTGGTATGCTTGCAAGTCTTTCTTAGATGCGTCTACGGTAATTGTGTTTATTATATTGTTTTCCTATTTTACGCTGCTGTTACTGCGGTTTTCATTATTTCTTCTTATTTCATGCTATATTGATTTTTCGAATAGGCAGGCGGGAATGAATTATTCCACCCAATATAAATCAAAATCATGCCAAAAATTCCTATAAAACGATGGGATCCCTATAGTAGGCCGGCGAGCCTACTATTTTTCTTTAATATAAAAGTTCTTGCCAAATTATTAGCGGATCTATTCCCTTCCTAATACGTAATTAATTTCTAAATAAATATTCGGGCGATTCGAGAGTAGAAAATAATTACAATATGAATTATAATTCTAGATAAAGATATAATTAAGAGAGATAGAGAAAGAGAAAAGGGCAGAAAAATCTAGAGAGAAAGATATGTTACTAATTTATCTATGAATTAAATAAAAGGAACCATTTTTTCTTGATTTTCCTATGAATAGTAATAATTGAATAATTTTTTGAAATTTCTAAGAATTTTATAAAGATAGCATATCATATCTTAAATTTCTAGAGAATTTCATAGACACTAATTATATCAAATATTCAGAAAATTTCATACTCAAATTTTATGAAATTCTCGTATAATTTCATAGAAATATCTCCAGGGCATAGTATAAAAACCTATGAAAATTACAGAGAATTTTAAAGAAATAGTTTATCATTCATATATGCAGACGTAATACCAGTAATATAGATTCGTGTTTTCGTTTTATTAAAAAACTAGAGCGGACCCGCTGCTTCCAGCAGCGGGGAAAGGTGGCGGCACAGTCTTGTGGACGTGCAGCAAGACTCAAAATTCATATAATATCTTAAAGAAACATATCTTGATGAAACAGAACCGATTCATATATAGTTCGCATATTCTGCCATACAGCAAGCATAAAGTTAGCTCGGCTCGTGGCTTAGACGGCATGTGGATTAGCATGCTCGACTGAGTTGACGCCCGAAACCTATCGAAATATGTTCAATCATGTGAGTGGCAAGAGCCGGAAGCCAACGGAAGAAGTGCGCAGCAAGTCGAGCAAGTGTAAGAGGACATAGAACTCCCAGGCAGGCAAGTATAAGCGGACATGCAACTCCCAGGCGGGGTATGGGTGCCTGTACCAAAATCTCCGAGATTTTATTACCGGGAGCATCTCAGCCTAAAGCTACCAAAATTTGAATGATTTTAATACCGTGAGATTTCCTAAAGCTACCGGACTTCGTTCGTGACAAACACTATTCTGAGTGAAGGCTGCTTTAACGCGGCCATCGGCAGACATCACGAAGCCTTGGCCTTCGCCGGCTTCCAACAGCCAACGCATGCTATTAGCATCACGGACACGTGAAAGAGATATATAGGGCATCCACGTCAACGAACTGCAGCTTAGCCTGTTGAAATATTTATTCGAATGTCTGCGATGAAAAGGCCAAGGCGAGGACCTTGCGAGAATGATTTTGTCGCATCCTCGCGCCAATGACCTGTAGGACGAATCACAGGCCAGGAACAACAAATATGAAGATATTCGGCCAGCCTTCAAAGAACCGAAGCGGACATGACGACCACGTGCATTCATATAATATCCTAAAGAAATATATCTTGATGAAACAGAACCGATTCATATATAGTTCGCATATTCTGCCATACAGCAAGCATAAAGTTAGCTCGGCTCGTGGCTTAGACGGCATGTGGATTAGCATGCTCGACTGAATTGACGCCCGAAACCTATCGAAATATGTTCAATCATGTGAGTGGCAAGAGCCGGAAGCCAACGGAAGAAGTGCGCAGCAAGTCGAGCAAGTGTAAGAGGACATAGAACTCCCAGGCAGGCAAGTATAAGCGGACATGCAACTCCCAGGCGGGGTATGGGTGCCTGTACCAAAACCTCCGAGATTTTATTACCGGGAGCATCTCAGCCTAAAGCTACCAAAATTTGAATGATTTTAATACCGTGAGATTTCCTAAAGCTACCAAAATCTCCGAGATTTTAGAGCCGGGAGAGAAGTGCTCGCGGTACTAAAATTTCCAGGATTTTAGTAGCTCGAAACAGACATGTAAGAGCTTTCACGAAGAGATGCCGCAAACGACCGCATTCCAGGGGGACCAGGGTGCGCACAAAATCATGCACGCAAGCGGCACGACACCGGTTTATTAGAGAATAATAAGCCCGATTAACCTCCTGAATATTGAGTTTGAATTCCAAAAGAATATTTCCGCCTATCATATTTATATTCCAAGATAATAATTTCGAGACCCCGGCGACCTCCTATTTTCGCATCCGAATCCCAAACACCTTTCCCCGAACTACCGACGGATTCCGGTCTTCGCGGAACTAGAAATACGATCGAGTGTTGACGAATTCCGAATTTCGTAGAACTAGAAGTGCGATCGAGTGCAACGAACTACCAACCGATTCCGGACTTAAGACAGTTCCAGAAGACTTCAGTTCCCCCAAATTACTCGTACATTGGAGAACGCCGCCGAAATCTTTCCCCCAAGTACTGACGGATAGCGACAAGCCATCCTTAGCCAAATCATGTACAAACCCTCGCAAAAACAATTCCATCACCAAGTCGACAAAGAGCCGTAGAGAACCGCCCACCACGAATTACAAAAGCAAGTAACAATAAGAACCGCGAGGCGTACGGAACCGAACCGAATAGAACCGTGTACTTCCTAACGAGTTCAAAATAAAGAAATGAACTACCGCAGTGCAGAATCAGAACCAAAGGATCAATCGCAATTAAACATATGATTATCTGATTCAGCGTGTGTAAATAGATAGATATATACATACAGGCTGGTGCATGCCACCAGCCTGTTTAGGAAACAGAAAGATTCAAGTACTTCTAAGCATTGCTTATCCAATAACTTGACAGATGTTACATATAATAAGACAGTAGCCCCGTGTGTATACATCTCGCTGCTGCTCGCCCTACCGTCCTATTATGTCCTCAACAACCCCAAAGGTTTCGGTCAGATAGCGAGTCAGGCAGATTGTATAATATAAAATGAGACCCTTTCTAGCCTGTATTGCCTATAGTTAGCTTTTGACCGGCGTGTTGGATAGGCGCTCGCTCTGCAGCTGGATCTTTGACTAAGACGAAGAGGCCCATTCCATCGAAGTGAGTCCATGTATAGCGGGAAGCCTGAGGTACAGAATCTGTTTTCTGTCTACGACTTGAGGCACTACGCCGTCTGAACAGAGTCGACTTTCCAGTTCAAGTGTTAATGTTGAGCTGAGCAAGAAGCTTCCCAAGGTGGCATTAACATGGCAAAGTCCACGACCTTGACATTGCACGAAGCTTGCCATGACTCCCAGAAAGCTTGTTTCACTTAACCCCGTAATCCAAAACTGAGAGCACAGCTGCTTGCCCGCCGCAGAGTTCTGTCACACTCAGCCTTGCCACATTGGTGCGACATTTCGGGGATCGGAAGCTTGGGGCACTCAGAGCTGGCAGGCTGGCTCGCGCATCATCTCACGTCTCAGAAGTATCCCTTTTAACAGTACGCGGGGAGCTTGACTGCCCGGTCCTAGAAACGGAGCAAGAGTTCCGACGAACAAGGAATCATGGATGTCTGTTGAATTCCATGGTGAGATTTATCTGCTGAACAAACTGCCACCACCGCACTCATCCAATAGAGCTTGCAGCTCCTGCAAGAAACCGGAGTTGTGCGCCTTAAAACTTTCCAAGTCCTCGTCAAGTGCATCCAGCACATCGAAATGGCCACGCCATGTTGCGATCGATAGAGGGCTTCCACCATACCTCTTGCACTTCTCCTTGTCCGCCCCTGCCTTGACGAGGCAGTCAACCACATCAGCATGACCGTTTTGAGAAGCTGTATATATGGGTGTCGCCCCTGACTCGTCTTCCGTGTCGATGTATGCCCCTGCCTGGATCAAGAAGCGAACTGCCTCGAGCTGGCCACTCTCCGCTGCTACGTACAAGGGCGTTGCCCCTGCCTCCTCTGTCAACTCTATGTTCATACCTGGGGTTCAGAACGTTAAGGCCTTTAGGGGACCTTGACATCAACAACCCCTAAATAAAGCCCTGATAAAGGCCCTGCGTATAAAAGAAAGAGTGCCTTTCTATGAATTTAGGGAGAACCCAGTTTCAAGAACCCCCCACCTAGATCCAAGAGGTAACTCATGACTTGGACCTGTCCATGCTCTGCGGCAGTGTGTAAAACGCTCGCTCCGGTTTGGTCCAGAGCATCTCTCGTTGCACCAGCCTTTAGGAGGTGGCGAAACATATCCATCTGGCCACTTCTTGCTGCCATATGCAACGCAGTGAAGCCACTTTCTTCTGAAGACTCGATGTCGGCGTTTAGATCAAGCAAAAGTCGAGCACACTCCATGCTGCCATGGGCGGCTGCCGTGTGTAGGAGACCTTCTCCGTTTGCATTCCTTGCATCTCTGTCCGCCCCGGCCTCGGTCACCGCAACATTCTCGAAGCACGAGGATCCCTTAAAGCCTTACGACGTCTTAAAACCAAACACTCTCAACACCAATCGCTTGTTGACCTACTGCGTCCCGGATGTCCCGGGCCTGCAGCAGAATCTCTAGAATGTCTCCGCTTCCAGCGATACAGGCGATGCGAGCCGCGCAGTCATCTCCATCACAACAGTTTGGGTCCTGATGCTTCTCCAGGATCTGTCTGGCAGCATCGAAGTCTCGTGCCCGAATCGCTGTCCTGAGCTTTTTGCAGCTCTGGCATCTAACACGCAAGATACGGCGACCCCAACAGGCAAAGTCCCAAAGTCCTGAAACCCCGAAGAGCCCACAGCACCTCGCCTGCCCTTCGGGTTATGACGCTCTCCGCCTAGCAATGCCTCTCGTGCCGTCGAGCTCTCCTTCTTGCCTAATTGGGGTTACAATAACGGGTTATATTAACAACAGCTCATGGCTTGAACTGCAACGAGGAGTCAGTAGGTCTGCTGAGAAGTCATTCACTGCCTGATTAAACACGGCTTGAACTTCACTTGGCTGGCCCAACTGGTGCCAAGATTTGCCCGCTGCCACGAGCGCGATCCGGAAGGAAGGAAAGCCGGTGTGCTCTTGCACCAACTTCCCTAGATAGACTGCTAGGTCGGGACCGCCGTAGTCGTTCTCTTCGCATAGAAGGGTCTCTAGGATCAGCTCACCTGCCAGGTTTACCACCCGCAGGTTCGCCATGTCTGTGCTTCGTCTGGCAGATTCAAACATGTGCTGCTGAAAATCGAACTCGATGCCTACGAACCGATGCTTCTTTTGTTATGAATGTTGGCCTAGATAGTCTTATATAAGCTTCAAGTTCAGCAGCACATGTCTTTCCGGGGACTTCCTACTATAGTGACCACGGCCGGCGACATGCACCAGTTCAAGACTGAAAGCCACTGACGTGAGCAAGCGATTCTTGCCTGTCTCATGCATCATGATGAATGCATGCCGACTTAAGATCAGGTTTTGCTTGAGGTCCTAACGGTGTGCTGCAAAGAGCGCTGCGGGATTCCGCGGCCCTTAGCACAAATGTATCTACAGGCCTTTCCACATAAAGATGGCAGTGTAACAATGCAAAGTGCGAGCCCCGCACCTCAATGCGGCAGCCCGGCGGCTACTTGTCGCACTCTGCACGTTCGAGGCCTGAAAAACTCTCGTCCGTTCGGTCTAGTGACAAGTGTCTGCAGCACGCTGAAGGTCAAGGTCATGATGCTTACAAGCAGTGGAACCCCGTCCTCCTGCGCGAAGAATTCCTGCAAGTGTCAAGACTCTCGGCATGGCATGGCATGCATGTGTGTTTCTACCGGTGCATATGTTTCTCTCTTTCTTTCGCCATCGCTGTGGTGGAGGGTTGTTGCCCTCTCTCACTCTCTTCTTCGACACAGCCAAGGGAGAACAAGTGCTTGCCCTCCCCGCGCGTTACCGCGCAGGGATGATGGGCAGAGGGAAACAAAAACGGACTAGTGCAGTCTCAGGCAGCGGCCCCCCAACCGAAACCACCTAAAACTATGATCCCCCAACCCGAGCCTGAGCTTGGTACCCTCAAACCGGCCTGTGCTGGACTGTTACTTCTCCCAATCATACGTGGGGACGCAAAGCGTCCGAACACACACCTGCATTTACGGGGCAACCTGCAAATCTACTTAACCCTGCATGTGTTCTGGTGGTACATACATGTAACATATGTATACATGGACACAGACACAGCGGAACTACATACATAGGCAGATAAGAGTAGGCAGACGGACTATAAGTGCCTGGGAACAGATAAATGATAGGTGAATAGACGATAGATGGACAGGTAGAGATTTTGGGGAAGTGCTACGCCAGTCCGGAAAGTCGGCAGGGTCGTAGATTGCGAGCATCAGCCCAGTGGAATTCTCTCCGTGAGGCCTGAACTCAGACACGGAGCATCGTGCAAGCATGGAGGTCTTAATCCCTCTTCACTAAATTATGGGGTTTAGTGGGATCATGGCTTAGGATGCATGAGATAGCACATGCTAGCATACAGCAGAATGACGTGCAAAATAGATGACCTCCCTCAACTACTGTGCACCACATATGCCCTAGGGCTACAAGAATAAAGCAACCGTGCGATGGGACTCCGGTACTTCATTTCTGATATTCCATTTGTCATAAACGATCATGCACTATTTAATATACTATAAAATATACTATAATATATACTACCACTATTATTATACTACTATAATATGTACTACCACTATTGCCCAACTATAATACTATGCTATAATATACTAGAATGTCTCAAGGTCTGAGCTTGCAGCGCGAGGCAGGACCAGCTGGCCCTCAGCTCAAAGAGCCTCGGTCGTGTCAGAAGACTCAAAAGCATTGCTTTATATAGCAACTCCAGCTGTGACTCACGACAGCCTCCGAAGAGAACTGTGCTTATATGGTAGTTTCCGAAAAATAGGGGTTCCTTTAAGGGTTCCTTCCAGGGATCTATAAGGGTTCTATAGAGGGTTTCGACGGTTTAGGGTTTGGGAGTTTCCGAACAATAGGGGTACCTTATTTTGGGATCCTTATCACGCCTTACAATAAGGATCCTATTATTTAGGGTACTTTCTTGGGGGTCCCCTAGTTTGGGAAACTCCCACATGTCCGCTGTGAGAATCACAACACCGACGGGCTACGGCTGGTGAGGCTTTGGCATCTGGCAGTAATCTTGCTGGAAGGGTCGGTTCCTGAGCATGCATATCTGCCACCTTCCGGCGACGAACGCGGAGCCGAGGATACGGACACACAGGCCATGCTCTCGCTGTCCAGCAGAACGGCACCAAGCGCTTGGTGGCCCTGGCACAAGTTCCGAGACTTCGAGATCAATCCTGCAGAGGCTCGATAGACTCAAACCAGTGGTGTGGGTGTTTCAGCAACACTCCGTTGGCCCAAAAGTAAAACGGTTTGGTGCGACTTCACCACCAAGCCGGCAGGAAAGTAAACCTGGGTCACTTAGTGACAGACAGGCAAATGCAGGGAAAGGCTTCAGACTGTTCTGCGAAGGCGAGAAGTCTGTCAGCGTGGACGATGCCATGTGTGATCCGTTTTCAGATCTCATTCGCAGGCTGCTTAGAGATGTATCTTGGGCTTAGTGGCTGTTCCATGGCTGTAGATGGCATGGAAAGATGTTCAGTGAGCTGGAAGAATATGATAGAAAAATATGTGAAGGTTGGAAGACTTCAGGCGCGCTTTCCGATCTGGAGCTAGTGCACAGTGCTTGACGTTTGAGACGCTGCCCTGCTCCCGCCTCCTGTGCCTTCTGAAGATGCTCGGGAGTCCTCATCATGCTGCGACGAGAAATCACATGCAGCAGCTTAGGCTTGGGCCGTCTGAGCTGGGGACGGTAGTTTCCCATCTTGTGGCCCTCGGACATCAAACCTTGGCTGACTTCCCTTTGGCCTCAGAACTCCGAGGTGAACTGTCTGCGCTGGTCGTAAGAGCTTTGCTGCCAGAGCTTCACTTCTCCCAGGCATCGCCTTTCACAAGGAAGGGCTCTTCAGCGTTGAGGCTTGGATGTAGCCTTGGGCGAGGTGCCTTGCTCCTAAGCGCCAGGAGCCGGCGTTTGAAGCACTCCACGTGAGTGTGGGCAGGTTCGGCGGGCCCGGCCGGTGCACCTGAGCTTCTGACTTTGAGCTCTCCACGACAGCTGCTGGGTGCCTGCTGGGCCCTGTGGCCAGGATGCTTTGCCCGTGCGACAACAGCCGGCCGGCCACCTGCCCGGCCCGCTGCGTCCCCCGCCCACAGGTCACAGAACGCTCTGCTTCAGATTTGCCTCCCTGGCCGTGTTCAGCCCCAAGCTGACCGAGATCCCAAGCAAGCGTGCCACATGCGGTGGCGTCCGCGCGAGCCTGGCACACCGTCAGAGCAGGAGCAAGCCTCAGTCCCAGCCAAGTCGCCAGCAAGACGCCGGTACAGGCACCTCGGGCATAAGGCCGGGGCAGATCAAAACGCGTTCAAACGAAGGTGCAGTGAGGCGGTAAGGAAGGGGCCTGCCGCATGTGCACACGCGTCTCCTCAAACAGTGACCGCGCTCGGGACAAACCGGTCATAAGCAGAACTGCAGCAAGGTCCGTCGCAGTTGGTGTGGTGATGAAGGCTTCCATTTGGTGGTCGGTGTCCATCAGGGAGCCTTGTGATCAGGAGTGATATGCAGTTCCTTTCTGCAGTTTATATGGTGCGACTTCACAAAAGCGGTCTCTCACACAGAGACACACACACACACGCATGGCAGGAGTTGCAAGCTGATTCCAGTGCTGTCTGCTGATGCAGCGGTGGGCTGGGCTGCCAACACTGCCCAGGCAAAGAGCCCAGGACCTGCCCCTGCATTACACATGGGATAGCTCCTTTCAGCTTGCAGAATCCCAGATGCCTCTGCACTGACAGAGTCGTGACAGTTCTCTTCGAAGTACGGCTTCTTATCGCCGTTGAAATGGACCTCGAAAACTCCGACAGCCCTGCTGAAATGAGACATGGCATGCAAGGGGGGCAGCGATGAGAAAGAGGCGCAGACACCGCTCGCAAGCCAGACGCGCGCAAGGCCGAGGGCATTGCCACCAGCGGCGGCGGCCGGTCTTCCCGCCGCGCGGCCTCTGCATCGCAGCAAAATGCGGCTGCATGGGCTCGGAGCTTCGAACTCCAAAGGCCCCCAAGGCCTCAAGCCGAGCCGAACTCCACTTGGAGCGGCCAGGGCCAGGCCTCATTTTGGAACTTGGCTTCATCAGGTTCGCATCTCGTGAAGCGGCTTCAAACATGCGAAGATCCCGACATTGCGAAAGATTCTGCTCGAGAAGAAGCCGCTCTCAAGTGTGCTGTCGCCAGGGCCCTCGCTGTCCTGCTGCAGCGGTGTAAAAGCCGTGATCCTCAGCAGTGTTCTATGCGTTCCATCTGTCATGTGCATTCCTGTGGCTGTTCCGTCTTCTGTTTGTGTTCTTGTCCCAGAGTTGGCTGGCCTCGTGTGACAAAGCTGCTGAAAAACTGCGAGATTTGGGATGCAGGCCATTCTGCCCGAAAAGTTGCAGACCTCGACTACAACCGACTCTATGTCTCTATGTCGGCGAAGGATTTCACAGCTGGGCCCCTGACTGGAGGTGCCTTCAGGCGCCTGAAGTTTCTGGAGCAGAGACATCCCGTCTTGAAGGGAAAGGAGTGAAGCACGTGGCACGCGCCTCGCCAGCGCCTCAAGCTGCACGCCATGGAGGGAAGCGAGAAGCTCCCCGGTATGATCCTGGCAACGTCTCTGCACAGGCCTCTGTCCTATCCGACTCTTACCTCTACCTAATAAGGCAACCTCGCCAGCCGGGCCACGCGGAGGGGGACCTGAAGGCAGATAATGATCTGTGTGAGGTCCACATCGGCCCCTCTCTTTCCGATTTCCGTCTCTGAGACGTCGCGCCCAGGGTCTCTCCAGCAAACTGGCGTGCAGCGCAGTCGACGTCACCAGTGCCTGCGATGGCTCGGGCCAGCTGAGTGGAGTGGGGTGCTGCTCGGAGTGCTTCTGGCCACGCCTGGTCTGCAAAATCCCCGAAGAGCCGAAGGACCTCTGCAGCCAGTGCAAAAAGACCTCGGAGGCTCGCTACCTCGGAAGCACTGGGAAAACTTCTCGCAGAAGAGAGCGAAGTACAACAGGCGGCAGAAGCAGTGTGCAACCGCTCCTATGCAAAGCCGAGTGCCAGGCGCGACCCATGAAAACACCACTGTTCAGGAAGGGAAGAAACAAGGGCAATTCCTCCAATCGCAGATCTCTCTATGCCATGTGCTCTCACATGAGGCTCCATCTAGCGGAACTGGCCTCAGTCCGATTTCGACCGAAGCGATGTCCCGTCATTTTGCCGGGATGCCCAAGATGCTTTCGCCAGTGCTCGCAAACCTCTGCAAATCCACACAATACTTTCGTGACCGCAGTGTATGGCAAGGGAGCATGAGGACCCCTGCAACCGAATTTCACCCTGAACCCTAAACCATCGCCCCGTGAGCGATTCTGCCGGCCTCGTCGCCTCGCAGCACGCGGCCAGCGCCGTAGCGGTACAAGTAGTGAGGTCTGTAATCACCAGTCCTTGTCAAGGGGCAGAACACGGCACTCATCGAATCACATTAGCAAGCTATCCTCTCTCTGAAACACCTTCATCCTGAAACCCAAATTCACTAGTCCAGCATCCTGCCACCCTAAAGTCACTGGTGCTTTCTGCTGTCCTGTACGAGCGAGAAATTAAGCCCTGCACCGCAAAACCTAAACCTTAAACCCTCAAACCTGAATCCCACCCTAAACCCACTCAGCCGCCTGCATAAAAGGTGGCTCAGTCCAAGGATGGACGAAGGGCCAGCCTTGGAGCGGGTCTGCTCTGCGAGCTCTTTTGGAGGTTGCGGGCACTGCAGTCTTTCTATGACGACTAGCGTTATGGCTGCTTTTTGTGGTTATTGAAGCTTTGTTAGCCAGCGTTTGCACTGCGAATGTTATATCTTCGATTCTCTGATATCATTGTTATTGTTATGTCTACTATTCTTTATGGACAGCTATACGGTAGCCTTGTGGTTCATCATGTTGTTGCAGGTGCTACCACTATTATGAAACATGACATCGCTGCTGTTCGTTCAGAGTTTACTCTTCTTGATGATCTTGGTATCATTCTTCTTACTCTCTGCTTATTACCATTATTACTAACATTTGTATTCTGAGTATTATAAGTCCTACTGATCTTAATTATCCTAGTTTGCTGGTAATGCTGTTGCTACTCTTATTGTCATTGTTTATTGTTATGACAACAACTACTACTACTACTACTACTACTACTACTACTACTGCTACTACTACTACTACTACTCCTGCTGCTACTACTACTACTCCTACTACTACTACTACTACTACTACTACTGCTACTACTGCTGCTGCTACTACTGCTGCTGCTACAACTACAACTACAACCACTACTACCACTACTACCACTACTACCACTACCACTACTACTGCTACTGCTACTGCTACTGCTACTCCTACTGCTACTGCTACTGCTAACGCTACTGCTACTACTACTGCTACTACCACTACTGCTACTACTACTGCTACCACCACTACTGCTACTACTACTGCTACTACTGCTGCTGCTACTACTACTACAACTACACAACTCCCCTCCTCCTCCTCCTCTCCTGCTCCTCCTCCTCCTGCTGCTACTACTACTGCTATGGTTTTCGTTATGATGACCAGTGTTACTACTCTTATTCGTTATGATTAACAACTACCTCGAAAATGAATACCGTTGTTGCTGTTGGGTCCACTGCATGTCTTAGTCATTATGTACCTGCTACTAGAGTGATGACTGCGGTTATTCGCACTACAACTATCCCCCTAAACTCCCTAAGCAGCACAATCTGCTCACTTCGCTTGGGCTTTCGCAGTTTGCCTCGCCACTGAAGATCACCGGGCCGGTGGGCAGGCTCGTCACTGGCCTCTGGAGAGCAGGATGTAGAGAAGAGGGATGTAGAGAAGAGTGCGATGATAGTAACAATCAGTAGGCTGGCACTAACAACTAGCAGCAACTAGCAGCATCACCGAGGTCCAGAGCACATCTGCGTTCTTGCTACCACCATCACCACATCCACCCCGCCAACCCCCACCCAGCACCAACCAGCACCACGAGACACGAACCCCAGCCGGCGCTGTACATGGTCGAAGGTGTCCTGCGAGTGCAGGCTTGGGTGACTGGGATTTTCGCGTTCAGGCGTGGAAGGTTTTTGCGGGGTTTCGGCACTGGCGCTCGGCCAAGCCGAGCGAGGCATCCTGAACGCCAAGACACTCGAAGCATGCTCTCCAAAACATACCTTTTCGGTTGGGAAGGCGGAGCGGGGGTAGGTTTTGGGTGGAGGGTTCAGGTTCGCAAGCTTGAAGGGGCTGAAGGTGTCCTGCAAGTGCTGCAGGCTGGGCGTTTCCAGCCTTAGTTCGCGTCAGTGGTGTAGGATGCTAATTCTGCAGAACGCATCAAGATGCAGGCCTGCGTTTTTGGATACGGCGAGGTAAGGCTGTCAGACTCGGATCCCCAAGAGCAGGGTTGGGTGAGTAGTAACTGGCCGGCGAAGCTTCACAACTGCTGGATCCAAGATGCTCGCTCACCAGTGAATTCACGAGCAGTGACCACTCAAGCTCGAGGCCCTTGTAAGTGTAGATTAGGGTAGATGCTACCTACCTGCAAGCTGCCTCGCAGAAACAAACGTGTCTCTCGACCCGTCCACAGGCGAAGCAAGTCACCAGTGAATCTAGTCATGATCAGGCAGAGATTGGACCTGAGATGCTGACACAACATCGTAGCCATCCATGGCCAGCACCAGATCCTCGACGAATTTTGTGCACAAGGCCGGGGTCACCAAGAGCGCTCAAGACTTGGATGAATAAAAGTCTGACGGTCTAACGGTCCATTACTCTGACTCGCTACGAGACTGGATGTTGTAGGCTCGCTGAAGCACGTTGCACGCCATCAGTCCTCATCCTCAAGATGTTCGAGGTGAGGCCAAACCTCAACGAAAGGTTTAGGCTGGAAAGTGCCGAGGGTTTCGTCGGGGGCTGTGGCATGTTGGAGCTGAGTCTCCAGCTGCGAAGAACTTGCGCACCTTTCATGACTGGCATGCTGCGTGCTAGCTACTGGGCTTGCACTCTCTGGCATTGAAGTTTGTTGACGTCTCTCGCATGATATCGCTCACAGACATGTCCTAGTGACCTAGTGCTAAGCTGCCGCACAGTGTTCTCAGCCTGTACGTGAGCACACTAATGGCGGCAACATCTCCATCCAGGCTATAGCAAATAAGTTCGATCAAAATCTCTGAATGCGCCATGCGCAGGTTGGCTCAGCCTAAGATGGCTGTGCAACAAGTTGATCGAAGTACAATCCGTACTTCGAGTTCTGTCCCCGTAGCCGGCAATCTTCACCTTCGAGCTTGACGGCAAGCATGCCGGGACCGCAGAACGGGCCCAGCTCCAACAATGTCCACTCCTCTGCTGGCAAAGACGAGAATGCTTTGGCGCTCAAGGTTTTTACCTCCAAGTTGTTGAAGTAAACGATCACGTCGGTGTCGAACCTAATTCGATGCTCTCTCTTGACCTTGAGGAAAACCTGCCAGTCACCACCCTCCAGGTCCAAGCTCGCCCAAGCGGTGAACCAGCAGACACCATTCAACAAAAACACTTGTCGATCCTCCTCCTGCACCTGTTTCACCCAATGGGAGTCCTGAAACCATGCGCCGTCCACGGGCGCTGTGACTCGGCAACGACTCAGAAGTGCTGTCAAAGCATGCTCTCTCTGGCCACCAGGCAGGTAGTCTTCCACCGGCGCTGAGTCTTCCAACTCGACCTTTCCGTAGAACAAAGATTTCCTCTCGGCTGCCACTTCAGGCAAAAACTGTTTCTTCAGGTACAGTGTCTCAGTTTCCTTCGGCACGGATCCGGAGAAAACCGTCACTCCTGAAGGCAGCGTGATGTTGATGTACACCATGGAAGCTATCTCTGCAAGCTATGCCGCAACGTGGGGGAGGACTTAAGCAAAAGCTTGACGGAAGCAGGATCTAATGCATCGAATCCAGGAAAGCAGGTCTGCTTACAAAACGGTGAACAGTTGCTTGAGTGCCCTCAGGTGAACTCTGCAATGCCAGCACATGATTATTCTCCGTCGCTTGTGCTCGCAGCGCATTCACGGGGTCAGCAGCTGTTCTAAACAAGTCAACTCAGCGCATCGCAGTTCAAGCGAAAACGTCAGTAGCAGAGTGTGTCGAACTCAACTTCACCAACTCATCAGCAGCTGCCGTGCCTTCTTCAAGCCCTTCGTCTTCTTGCAATCCTGCAGAAGGCACCATCATTTGCCCTATGTCAGCAGTGTAGTGTCACTGAAAGCACTAGCATCATCAGTGTAGACCGTAGAACAACAGCAGGACAGCAACAATGACTATCGTCGTGGAGGAGTTCTCTCGTCGATTTTGGCACAGGAATGAATCTGCTGCAACTGCCTGCGCAGCTGCTACATCGTTGATCCTGTTGTTGCCCTTGCTCCTGTTGATGCCGCTATCTCTGCTTGGGCTTGTCTCTCTTTTGTGCTGGTGGGCAAAACGATGACAAGCATCTTAATTACGTGACGGTGACAATAACGAGGGTGATGATGACGATGATGATGCTGGTGATAGCGGTGGCGGCGCTGATGTTGATGGTGATGGTGCTGGGATTGTCGCTGCCGTCGCGCTCGCAGTTGCTCCTGTTTGACTTCGTCAGGAGACAAAGCCATTGCTGCTGTTTCCAAAACGTGTATCACTACTACTGAGCTTTGCTGAACTTCCTGGCTCTCAACTTTCTTAAGAGCTGCAGCCACTCTTATTTCAGGGTTGCCGTCCGTCTGTGGCAGGAATCCCTCACAGGTGTGGCCTGGCCTCTTTGGTCATGCATTGCAGCGTTGCCGCCATGCGCTGCCCTTCCACTTGCTTGGCCTCAACTCAGCTTGCAGCAACGGGCATGGTTGTTGCCACCGAGCACACTCCACCTTAGGAGGTTGCACCATATTGCCGATGTCTACAGTATCTCGGTATGCGAAAATATATGTCACGTTCATTTATCTGCTTATTTACCATGGTTAGTGATGGCTAATACTGAGTAGAAACTGAAACTACATCAATAGGAACAGTCATGATAATCGTGAACATCGTAATGACCAATGCTCATAGCCCGGCCTTGCCCTGCTCGGCCAAGGCTTCTGCGATGGAGTCCAAGGCCTCTGATGAGTCGTTCTAACTTACTTTTGGTGAGAAGGGAATGGAGGAATGGGGTACAACTATAACCACTGTTACTACCATTCTCCCCTTCCCTACTAACCAAAGGTAAGCTAAGGGCGTCCGTACGGTTTTCTAAGATGTCTAGCGGTGTAGTCTCAGGTTCAGGTTCTGTTGCAGGGTTCGACACGCACGCTCGCAGGAGGCAGGCACGGTTCGAAGAGAGTGTTGCAGGGTTTGGGGTTTTTTAGGTTTTCTAAGGTTTTCTAGGGTGTTGTAAGGGTTCTGCAGGGTGTCAGGGCAGAGGGTTTAAGGTTTCACAGTCTGGGGGTTGATGCAAGAGGTATATAATGCTGGTATCGGTGGTACAGGTGCCGTCTTGAGAAGCAATGCATTAGAGTAGTGATCAGGAGTGGTGCTTGGTTCTGGTCCTGGTCCAGGTCCCGGTCCTAGGTGGTGGTTGTAGTAATGGTAGGCAGCAGTAGTACTGCTTGTTGTGGTGGTGACGGTGGTCGTCGTCGTCCTCCTCGTCGTCGCCGCAAGGCTTCAGTGATTGCTGTTGATGGTGCTACTGCTGTTCTTGCTGATTCGGTTTGTTTCTGTCGCTGCAGCTGGTTGTTGTTGCGGTTGTTGCTGTTGCTGTATTGTTTCTTGAGGTGGTGGCGATTTTGTCGTCGTCGTCCTTGCAGGTGGCGATGATCAATATCAAGCAAACACCCTTCTCGTCACGAGCAATACGACGCACCTCGCGGGGAACTGCCCCGAAAGGCATTTCCTGGCGGCATGGGATGGAACACCGTAACACCCTAAACCCCAAAACCTACACAAGGGTCCGAGCTTTCACAAACTGTCCAGTGTAATTACATGCAGAGCTGAGTTGGAGACCTCTTCGTAACCCAGGCCGACCTGAACCCAGGCAACCGATCTTTTGATACCTGCATCTATATACTAGATGTGTACATATGTGCATATACAATCACATACGTACATATATATATATATATGTATATACATATAGAAATACATACATAGTTGTTTATATGTACATATATATAGGGAGAGAGAGAGAGAGAGAGAGAGAGAGAGAGAGAGAGAGAGAGAGAGAGAGAGAGAGAGAGAGAGAGAGAGAGAGAGAGAGAGAGAGAATGCCTTTATTCTATTCATAAGCCTACATACAATCATTCAGAAAGATCGTACATACATGCAATGTGCACACACACGGCAAATCGGACTCCGCCTCTGAGGCCCAGGCCACGTTGAGGCTTCCGCCTGCCGAAGCCACGGAGCTCGCGAGAGTGCAAAGGTTCGGGTGCGCCGAGTCCTTAAGACACAGCCAAGCCGTTGGAGGGTTCGGAGTTCGGGCTTCAAGCTTGGAAATGCCCGAGAACGAAAATCCAAGCCCTTGGGGCCGTCGGGTCTCTGCCCACATGGACCCCTGGCACTTGGCACTCAGAAGGAACCCTAAAAGGCCGGAGCCGGACTTAAAGCACAGCAGTTACGAAAAGGAGAGAGACTGCTGCCATCGTCGCATGCCACATACTGCCACAAGCAAACAGCCGTAAAAAAAAACTGACTGGGGAAGGCATTAAGATCATTAAGGGGAGCCGTGTCAGCGGCTCTGAGACCCCGAGCCCAGGTTCAACATATATATATATATATAGTAATTAATTCGTCATATGTATATATATATATATATATAAATACATAAAGGATAGTTAGTAATATGTATATTCATATATACACACATATATTTTTCTTAGAGTTATTGTTATTATTCCGGAATTTTGTTTAAGCTGGGGAAAGCAAACAGGGCTTGTAAGGGTGTGTCAGCGTGTGCTAGTTTGTGTAGCTTGGCGTTGAAGGTTGACGTTTACTGGGCCCTGCACTGCGAAGGCAAAAACGTGGACCGCCGGTGAGGTTCGCATGGCATAGCGCAAGGCCTTTCACTGCCTTTTGCTTTGTGCTGGAGCCTGCCCTGTCTCATAGAGCCTCGAGAGACGAACACCTTGCTGATGAGCCGAATGCGTCCACGGCCCTTAAGAGCTACAAATGCAGTAACATCACGACTTGCAGGGAGCAAAGTGGAAGAACGAAAGCAAGCTGATGATGGGCAGTTTGCTTGGAGACGGCGCCTGGATATTCCAGCTCCACGATTGAAAAGGGGGCGCTGCAGGCCTCATCTGGTCGGGCTTGTGCATCGGACCATGCCGCAATCCACCTCCATGCACCTACTACGTCCACCTGTTGCAGGCAGGACCCTATAAAAAACTGCCCACACAAACATGCGAGCTCTGTGCGCGAAAAAACACGAAAAAGGGCAAGTGCATCGAAAGCCTAGGTTCCAGGAGGAGACACCAAGCCTTCAGTAGAATCAAGATCGAATTTCAAATCGGCCAGGAAGCAGCGGCATTAGCAGTTACCTCTCCATGCCCTGAGTCGGAATCTCATCCCAAGACTGACCTCAAGGTATGCTTTCTGGCGAAGGTATGTACACGGGGCATCAGCACTTTGGCCGTCGCAGCATTGCGAGGATCGTTGGGAGCAGCCGTTGCAGTAGCTAGCCACGCACTACCTTCCTAGAGCGCTGAAACGCATATCGGTATTCCGATATTCCTCTGCGTGCGACGTTGAGGACAGCATGCCCACAATGACCCAAGAAAGTCACAGTTCTTTGTTCTGGTCAACAGTCTATAGGTGTGTAAACTCTTCGAAAAGGCCGGGCTCCTCAAGAATACGGCAGCTTCAAGGGACGGCGGCCTGCGTGCTGAGCTCCTGGGAGCCCCACGACGGAGCTCAGTTCATCCCCTGAAGATCAATGCAAGCATCTGTTGGGAACAGCTTGTACTGCTATTGCAGCGCAGCCTGCACTGTGGATGAAAGCAGCTCTTCTTCGAGGATAAAGCGGCCTTCCTGTCAAAAGCTACTTTGCAATCGAATGCAAGGACATGCAAGCTGCACCTTGTACTTCTGATCCTCCTCGAAAGCCACCTGTACACAGAACCATCGGCATTTCACCAACCACTCCCTTGCAAAAGTCTGAATGCAAACACGACGAATGCAGCAAGCACCTCATATTTCCATCCAACGCGCTCTTCACCTTGCAGCCGGTCATACTGGAGCCAGAAATAATCCACTGCAGGAGGCATCAAAACACCAGCCAGGGTTCGGATAAGGTCAGGACAAACGACGCAGAACAAGCACCGGATCGTGTGCAAGCCTGCGGTGTTTCAATGTATTTCAGATTTCTCTGGTCAGTGCAGGGGGGTGTTCTGAACTTACGTGAAGCGCAGCGGAAACACCCCACACACAGCATGTCTTCATCCTCGCCTGTGGTCATCACACTGTCTTCCAAAGGTCCTCCCGACACTTACGTCTGAAACCTTGTGCCAAGCGAATTTGCCTGTCCTGCCGTGACATTGATCACTTGGTTGAAGAGCAACGCATTGCCTGTCCTGGAGTTTTCAAAGAGTCGCGATGTGCTGCACGCTGCACGGCACTGCACACTTCACACAAGTTCGGCGGGCCTGCCCCGGAAATTCGTCGACAGCAAATCCTGTAGCTTCCCAGATTCAAACGCCTTGTGACATGGTTTGCGACTGTGACTGCAACGACCGCACCTTGTACTGCGCGACATGCGCGCCACAAGCTGCACAACAGTACACCTCAGAAATTCCGCTTGCTGCTACTACGACAGGGGCATATCAAGGTCCGACAGGAAAAAGCTCTGGAGGCAGCAATGATCAAGCAAAAAGAGATCAAACAAGCAGGGTGTCCTCGCATGCCTGCAAAACATGCCGATGCCAAAATCATCACAACTTAGCATGCGGAAGCTGTGGCCCTGGCTGGCTCGTCGTCGTTGTAGAAGCGCTGAAAAAACCGGCCCATGATATCGGCTTTGCTGTATGTGCAGAATTCACCAAAAAACGAATGTGTTGCAAACGATCCCGCAACACAAGTCCGAGCCTGCTACTTCTCGCCATCGATGGGAATAAGCGGAAACACGCTCACAGGCCCTTCCTCAACACACACACACACAAAGAAAAACAAAAAAACAACAAAAGAGTCGCTATCGACAACTTGAGCCGAGTGCCGAAAAGGAACGCAATCGACTTCTGCGGCCGCCCTGCCCCCCCCCCCGCCCCTGCGACCTGGACCACCTGAAGGGAAGCATGGTAGGAATCGGCAGGAGAGATTTTTCAGAGCGCCCAGTGTCGACCCCTCAACAGAGTCGAGTAAGGGCAGCATGGGCAGCATCAAGTCGTTGCGTTGGCTGCAGGCCTGCCTCTCAACTCAACTCGTGACAGCGGAATGGCAGCTTCGAGTCTGATTAGCTCGGCCGCGAGCGCAATCCCGGCCAGTCCTTCTACGCCTGCACTTTGCTCCTGCTCCAAACTCAAACACCCTCTCTGCAATTCAACTCGTATCTCAGCAAGCCCGCAGCCTCATGCATGCGAAGTGCCAACATCCAGGAGCTCTGCTCAGCACAGCAGAGAATTGCAGCCTCGAGCAAGGGAGGCTGCTTCCTGCCTCACGGAACAAAGGGCATGCAAGCGCGCCCTGGCCAAGCCGGGGACTGTGGCCCCAAAACTCGTCTGTCGAACTCCCCGTGTCTGCAGCAGCCTCACGGTCCTCGACCCGTCCCGCCACATGTGGGCAAGGTGGCTTCTGCAGCCATCGTTCTGGAGCTTTGCAGCATGTGCAATCACGACAGCATGGTCCCGAGTGCATGCAGCCAATGGCCAGATCTGTTGCATGCGCTCAGCATCGAACTGAAAGTAATGGCCTCGCCAGGGACTCAGACATACGAAAGATTCGCCATTTCGGCGGGCATGACGGAGATGAAACTGTCGCCCAGCCACAGAAGGCCGCACGCCTGAATAATTCTCAGGTATTCTCAGTGCCAAGCTTACTCACCTCTCACAGAAAGCTGGATCGACTTGAGCCAAGCTACCTGCATGTAGGCCCAGGATGTTCAGTGACTGACGCCATCGGCTAGCAGCTGCACATGCACTCAGTGCAGCATTACCGGCCATTGCCTCAGCTGGATGCAGGCCGCAGGAAACGCGACAACAGCGGCAGCTCGTGTCAATGTCTACACCCATGTGTCAAGACTGTCAACGTCGAAACACCTGCCGAAAGCATCAACTCAAAGTCGTCATCGAAACTCTGCTCTGTCGGCCGGGAAACGCTGGCTTGGACTCGGCCACTTGTGAGACGGAGCATCAGTGACATTGCCAAACTCCACTTCTCCACGTTTTCACCTGCTTTCTGCTCAGGAAAGCAGGAGGCAGTTCCCCAAACCACCAACATCGTTCCTTACAGGCACTTATAGGGTTCCTGATCTTTAAGTATATACAAGTGCATATAGGTACATAAGTATTTACATATATATATATATATATACATATAATATACACAATATATATATATATACATATATATATATATATATACATATACATATACATACATATGTATATATATATATATATATACATATACATACATACATACATACATATATATATATATATAAATACACACACGTGTGAGTATGTATGTATGTTTGTATGTTTGTATGTATGTATGTATGTATGTATACATGACATAGCTTGTAACGTAACCCTATTCTAATCATTCGGGCCCTTGTCGTACGTAGGCTTTTCGGTTTACGCTTCCGGGACAAGTGGCAGCTGCCCAGAAGGGCGGCCCAGCGCAGAGCGCTCACACCACCCAAGCCGACCTCACAGTCAGCTCACAGTCTTCTTAGAATATTCTAGCATAAGTATCATGTTATATATATATATATACATTGAGGTATAGTCTAGTATATAGGAACAAACTATAGTACAGTCTTCGCATATTACAAGATGCCTAGTGTATCGTAGTAGACTTTTTCACACTCACACTCCAGCAAATTATTACAGAAGTATTACAGAGTTGGTGCGTAAAGCTCCACAGGCAGGTTTTGGCGCTTTCTACGTCTCAGTGTCGTTGTACCTTTCTCCAAGGGGCCATTGGAACATAACCGTGGTGAGTCAGTATGCACGACTGCTTACAATGCACTGATTTAGCGCCGGCTGTTGAAAACTCAGCATGTACATGCTGAACGCGATTAGATCTGCTGGCATAGTGCTTCACGGGCTTTCAGTGCCATACTGCATAGGTGCACTTTGCAGCAGTTCCAACAAAGCCACGGCTGAGGCTCATTAAACAGCTTCTAGATAAAGACGAACGCTTGGTGTAGTGGCACTTGCACAGGCCAACTTCGCACATCGAGGCAAATGTGCGAAGTTGACCTTTGTTGTCCTCCTGGAAGTGAGTCGGCAAGACAAGCGGCGGAAGCGCGAACACGGCAAATCGGGAGTGTGCGGGCCAACATATGGGCTTAAGCTAGCCGACCGGAGGGTGAGCACCAAAAGGGACATGAACATGCCTTCGCAGACCCTCTGTCGGGGAGAAGCTGCAACGCGATAGCCCAACCTGACAGGGAGCATCGCAATTGACTAGCTTTGGTCCTGCTTGCTTGCGATCCGCCTGCGTGTCTTTGACAAGCCAGCGTGGTGGCCGAGAGTGATATCCTACGAACCGGAATCATCGAAAGACGAGGCTTCCCAGCTGCCGACATGAAAACATCAAGCTAGAGCCGGGACGCTCGTTTGGTATCAAAGCCGATGATGGCATCGAACGCAAAGTGCACAATCCTTGTTCCCACTGGCGTCCTTGCAGGCTGACACTCCGCACGCATTCTGCCTACGCAGCCTTCTCCCTTGTATGGCCCGATGGCCCATGACTCACAAGCACTAGAACACCAAGGCAAGATGCCAGCTTCGCATGCGGTCATCGCCTCAGTGCAGCAGTCAGTCGTAATGCAGTGAAACTGAGCAATACGGAAGTCACCACCGCTACTGCGCTTCGGTCGAAAGGCGACCGTGTAGCTGGCTTGGGAGAGTCGAATCCTGGCATGATCTGAATTGCGGCAGGATGGCAGACACAGCTTTCTGGTACCGCTTTGCCGGCTGCTTTGTGCCACTGCCACTGGCCTCAGCTCCTGTGCCGACATCAACAGCCCCAGGGCCGCATTCCACTTCTGGCCTGATCAAGGGGAGCTTCAGCAGCTTAGCGGCCAACGGAAGCTTCGGAAAGGTGCCTGAACCGCAGGCATCGATGACTGCCATGAGCGTGATCTCCTGAAAACCACTGGCACTGACAGCGCATTTCTTTGCTATTCTGTGCTCAGACAGCCGGGGCGCCGGCATTCGGTGCCTGAGTTGTCTCGAGCATAGTAGTCAAAAGCTCCTGGAGTCACGGAAATCGCGCATGATTCAACACAAGATCTACGCTGTCGAATTCGGTTTCAATCGTGGTTGCATTCGCCGTGGTCGTTTTGGTGATGCTGGTGGTGGTGCTGGTGGTGCTGGTGGTGCTGGTGGTGCTGGTGGTGCTGGTGGTGCTGGTGGTGCTGGTGGTGCTGGTGGTGCTGGTGGTGCTGGTGGTGCTGGTGGTGCTGGTGGTGCTGGTGGTGCTGGTGGTGCTGGTGGGGCTGGTGGTGCTGGTGGTGCTGGTGGTGCTGGTGGTGCTGGTGGTGCTGGTGGTGCTGGTGGTGCTGGTGGTGCTGGTGGTGCTGGTGGTGCTGGTGGTGCGGGTGGTGCTGGTGGTGCTGGTGGTGCTGGTGGTGCTGGTGGTGCTGGTGGTGCTGGTGGTGCTGGTGGTGCTGGTGGTGCTGGTGGTGCTGGTGGTGCTGGTGGTGCTGGTGGTGCTGGTGGTGGTGGTAACGGCGCTGGCCTGGGTGGTAGTGACGGGGATTGATGGGGGGTAGGCGTAGGAGTAGTGAGCAGTTGGAGCAGCAGTGGCATCATCAGCAGCAGCAGTAGTTGCAGCACTGGCACAAGCACTCGCAGTCGCGGTTGTACAAGCATTGGTGATCATTGGCGATGGCAGCAGGAGGGGAGGCAAACAAGAAGCAGGCAGATCACTGCACTTGTCGTCTCCATGGCTTCGCGCCATCGGCTCCCAGCCGCCGCTGCAGCTTGGGTAGCGCTCAGGGCCACGACATTGGGCCGAATTTGCTCCTGCAGGATTGCAGACTGCTTGGCCAAACCCAGCCAAAACAACAGCTACCTGCCTGGAACAACAGGCATTCACATGCAGCTTTGCTTTTTGGTCCATCTGGGCTTTTGGACTCGAGCGAAACGAAAGCCGGAATCGCAAACACCAGGCTCCCCTCCTTGCTCATCGAGCCGAGAAGCTCCAAGGCAAGCTCCCAAGTGCTGCCGGCGGTGCAGGCTGTGATGGCTGTGCTGAAGCTGAAGACATCGGCAGATCTCGGTTTCGAGGACAAGGCAGTTTCCAGAGCTCCCGTGAGCTTCAACCAAGGGACCGGTTTGAGACCATGATCCACAGCAGAGACAACGCTTCCTCCCAGAGAGCTGCCTCCCCCTCAGCTGCCATCAAAGCGCCTGGGAAACAGCTACAGTAGAGAGGTCAAGAATAGGGCCAAGTTTTGCAAGGTTCATTCTGGCAGGCCAGTGGTATTGTATTTCCTGCGCTGCCTCACTACGTGTTCAGTGTCAGTTTTGAGCATCGGACTGCTTGTGATTGGATCCTCAGAGACGATGACCCCTGTCACCTGCCAGTACGGCGAGGCACGTCACGCCTTTTTAACATGATGCCCCTCTTCGCCCGAACAACACTGATGCGCCTGCCTGTTCACTTTGCAGTGACAGCTGCCACTGTGAGGCGCTTGTCAACAAGCGGATTGTAGTTGTAGCTGCAACTTGATCCTGAGACGCGAATCTCCTATGCAAAAAAATTGTGGCTGGGCTGAACTGCTGACAGCTGGCAAGCTCGATAAAGAAGCGGCGCAACGAAGCAGCCACTTCCAATGCCGATCGCCAGAGTGACCACGTGCCACAGGCGCGAAGCGCCGTGTTGCAGGCTACCTGCGCGGAACTTTCCCCATCAGGGTCAGCAAGTCTCCCGGCGGATAATACAATTGATACAAGTACCAGCCCGTGCAACATTGCCTTCGCTGAACTTGCATCCTGGAAGGCTGTGCCGGTGATACGCAGGCTCTCCTGTCAACACTCCTCAATACGCCTGCTTGGACGAGGCGAACATGCACACCGTACACGCGTCCTCCCATTGTGAAGCACCGGCACAGGCGTTCGAAGCCGTGCAATGCGTCTTGTCGTTAGGAGGTACCGATATCCCTTGCACGTTCGGGAGTGAGTAAGATGTCACGTGAAGAGAGAATGGCGCGCCTCGCATTGAAAGGCAGAGATCCAAGGCTGTTTGCCACTGCTGGCATGTTGCCTTGTGTTGCGCGACCCTTCTTTGCAGCAACCAATTCGACCAATCTTGAGTAGGGCGGCACATGATTGAGTCACAGAGTTGAACACGACGACATCTGTCTGAATCGTCAGCTGAGCCAGCTCCGACAGCAATGCCAGAGACTGCTGCCATTGACTCTCCTGGCAATAAGCTGCGCGACTTCAGCCTGCAACGAACTTGCAGCCATCACTCCTTGCTACAGGCCGCAACCACGGCACTAGCATGGAAAGCATTCAGCTGCACCTTGGCTTCGAAGCACCCCATGTTAGAGGTATAATCATCACCCCAAAAATCCGGGCACCTCTTGCACTGCTCCCGAGCAACCTTCTGCTTGGCCAAGGTGGCGAAAGTCTCAAGAGCTCTTTGGGCATCGAGACGGCTGAGTCGGCGAGTGACCTTACAGGGAGCCAGGCATCGACGAGTACAGAACAAAGCAAAACTCTGCGCGCATGCGCGACCTGCTTCTGAGCTTGTCTTGAAGAACAGTCCCCAGCGCCTCCACTGCACGCATCATCTTGTCAAATTGCCTGCTGCAGATGCCCAGCCTCCGGATTCATCCGGCATCTTCATGCTCCGCCTGCGAGCTCCTCAATGTCTCCGCAGAGGCCAGGACCTCTAGGCGGGCTTTGCCCGTGGCCTGCAGCGGCGATCTGTCCTGCATCGGCGCTTCAAGCCCAAACTTCTCTGAGTTTGAGCGCCAGAGCCCAGAATGTCTTGGAGCTTCCAAGTCTTCAGGCTCGTGAGTCACACCAACTACCGAGACCTGCGCCATACCAGGTGCGCCCCGGCTCCGTGCCCGGCGCCAACAGGCGGGCCGAGATTCGGGGTTCTCACATGGCTGCTTCGGGGTGATGCTCACGGCTGCGGCGGACCGGAGCAGGGCACAGGCTGATCACACTTCCTGCAGGTCTAGCACACTTGTCCCGAGTCGTGCTTGTTGCTTTCCAGGGCCGGATCTGTCTGCAGGCCTCCTTTAATCCTCGTGCGTTGCTCGTGCCAGGTCCGGTTCAGCGGGTTGCTTCATTTTGGCAGCCAGTGGGGGCAGTCGCACGGGTCAAGAGCCGCGAAGAGATAGCCCTAGACGGACCCCAGCATGACAAGATCTCATACCGATTTCCAGAGCTCAGATCAACCCAGTCTCTGTAGAAGACTGGAGAAGTCACTCACTTCTGCGTGTTATACTCCACTAGGCAAGGCCCAGCAGTTGCCGCAGGGATGTTGAAAATTTTATCTTTCTTCTCGTGGCTAGCCACAAGCGCCTAAGCGTGAGGCACGTTGCAGTTGGCTCACGGCTTGGAACCCCGTCACTGCCCCAAGCATGCCAACAGGGTTGAAAACAATCCCAGAATAGTAGCCCTGATCGGTGATGCTACGTTTACGGACGCTGGGGCCACTGTTTCCCTGTACTGTTCCACAGTGTCCAAGACAGGGTACTTGCTGCCCACCATGCCATAGGAACCCATGAGTGAGCCTTGTCCACCAAAGATGTAAATTGAATCGCCAAGTGCTGCGGCAACAAACCGGAACCGGTTTGATGGGATGCTGCCTCCATCGTACCAGCTGTCAGTAACTGTGTCATACACCTCCACATCCATCAGCGCGACAGATTGCTCAGCCTGATTCTTGGATTCGCCTCCGACGATGTGAAGCATGCCATTGAGCACAGCCGCGGCCTTATCCCCACGTGCTACATCCATAGTCGTTCGCTCCTTCCAGCCACCCTCCACGTTGTTCAAGAACAGCACCTCCAAGTGATCCATCGGGTAGGACCAGTTGCCATGGTGGAAGCCACCCAAGGCAAAGGCCACCTCACCTGAAATCGCTGCCGCCGCATCTCCACGGCCCTGGAGCAGGGAAGGAGCCTCGGACCAAGCTGCGCTGCCTGATTGCGACGGGTCGAAGACCATCACTGTGGTCATAGCGAGATAATCCGGGCGATTGTATCCTCCCAGCACATAGATCTTGCCGTCGTGTGCAAAGGCAGACAAATCCGAAGTAGCATTTGGCCAGCTTCCTGCCGTCGACCATCTGCCGGTGGTGGTGTCCAAAACATCGACGTCTGTAATGATACTGTCATCAATGGCACAGCCGCCAAATAAGTAGATTCGGCCGCCAACGGCTGCAGCTGCATGACGATATCGGCTTCGAGGTGCCTCTGCCAAAGTCTCGTAGCTGTCGGTCGCAGGCGTGTACTTCTCCGTCGCCTTTGAGATCCCGGTGCACAAGTACATGCCGGAATTGTCCGCCCACTCTTGATCGTTGGCACAGCCGCCTATGAGGTAAATGGACTCCCCCACCGTTGTCGCAGTGAGGTCACTGCGCTTGGAAGGCAAAGCTGTTTTGGTCAGCCATGTGTGAGTATAGACATTGTCACTGACCGAGAACTGTCCGTGCACGCCCGTAGCCAGTCCGATGGCTGCAAGGTATCGCTTCCACATGGCTTCCAGGCCGTTCAAGACTCTGCGATTCTACGTCCTGGCAGGGCCGAAGCCGGCATTTGGAGCCACAATTTTGCCCGCGATGGCAAATGCTTGCAGTCGACCTGTAACAACGACAGATCCGCAACAGCATGGCATCTTCTTTTGCTCACTTCGGCGGTCGGCTGTCCTTTTCCCCATCAGCTGTGCGGACCGGCCTCGAGCGAGACGCACCGGACACAAACGCCGAAATGTTCACAAAGGTATCGAGTCAGAGTCATCAAATTTAAATCGGGACAGGACTTGTCATGGAAGCTGGCATCGAGCATCAGGGAAGGAGCCAGGTGCACCTGTCCCGCTTGCTAGCTGCGACAGTCGCATCTCGCACAGAACCGGCATCAGCACCCCTGTGCTGGGATCTGCGCATGCGTGGTTCGTAGGTCCTCGACCTGAGCCGTGTACTGACTGGCCCACCCTTACCCTTACTCTGCTGAATCTCTTGCACCTTGATCGCTGTTGAGCTTGGAGCAGTCACCTTCTCTTTCGGATTGGAAGCTGCTTCCTCTTGGAACCAAGCGTTTGGCCTCGGGGAAATGCCGAGAGCCCAGAACGCCCACACACCCACGGGAGCTGGAATTTCGAACAACCGAGCGGTCGGCCACTCCAAAAGGTCTCCCCTGCTCATGGCCTCGTGGAGAGTGGACAGATGTGCACTTTGTACTCCAAGTTTATAACTGAAGGCCCACTCTCCCCTTGGGGAGGGCGCAACGCGAACTCCAATGTGCGGGAAATGCACATCTGCCTGAAGTCTCAAGGCGAGTTCCAGCTCTCCGAAACGGCTCGGAAAGTGCTTCCGACCTGTTCCGAGAGGCATATGGTGGCCGACCTCCACAAGTCTGCTTTGACAGCCATTGGCTCCATGACTTTCTGCGCGCCTCTGCCCGCAACCTCGATTGCCCATTCCAATCTGGGTGTTAGCCCGAACAAGCCTCAAGTACCTGTCCGAAGCCACAGTTCGGCTTGCCCAAGTTTCAATAACATAGTTTCTTGGCAGACTTGCAACGGCGGCGCACCCGAGATTTTCAGGAGCGAACTCATTCCAGTTCGTGAGTCGCTCCTGTGCAGCTGCACAGAATCGGAGACAGAATTTACTTTCTCTCGGGGCAGGTATTGCAGGTACTAGTATTGCGGTTGCAACAACCTGGTGCTGGGCCATCTTCGGGCAGCAGGTTTGCCTCAATCTGCCGCGCTGTTGGGGCAACAGGCTCCACCAGCGTCTGCAGCAGGACCTGCGTTCAAAGGCCAGAGCAAGCTCTCAGAAACTGAGCTGCCACCTGCGCACGACGTTCTCTGAGCCCCATGCTGCCGCGCCGGGGAAGCCGAGATCACCTGTGCTGGTGCCTGGCGCCACCAGGCCGAACAGAATCGACCGCTGACATGCACTTGCTGCGATCCACACCAAGGTCTTCTGGCGCCAGGGAAGCGAAATATTCGGCCTGGCGGCGCAAGAAGCTCCATAGCATTCCCGCATCCAAACGCAACCTGGCCAGATTCCGAATGCCTCGTCCTGCGTGAGGAACCCCGGAACCTCGGCACGCAAACAACTTTGGGAACCTTGTCGCCACAGCTGGAAAGCTGTTGCCGCTCCAAGCGCACTCATCAAGATTTTATTTCTCAGCCAACGAATCTGAAGGTTCATTCAGAGACGATTGCCGAAATGGCTGCGGGCCAGACGGAAGCCGTTGCAGCATAAACAAACAGTGCAGCGACCGTCTGTTTTGCAAACAGCCGCCTGCAGCAGGAACGCTTTCAATGCGATGGGCTCCCATGGTGATGGATCATTCCTGACCGCTACTCCAAGAATGGGAATCTATCAACCGATCTGAGCCACAGATGCTTGCCGTCAAGGAGTGCTGCCAGGATGCGCCAGGACCCGCAGGGCATTTGCATGAAAACATTGGTTGCCTCCATGACATTTGATGAAAAGTCCTCCGCGCAAACCTGGGTGACGCCCAAGCTCTTGCGAGTGTCATAATTAGTGGCTCACGCAGATCCGAGCGTCGACGAAGGCCATAGCATCATCTATTCGCCAGACCTGTCCTTACTCGACAGTTGCCGTGTGAATCTGCCTTCTTCAGCAAACCCGGAGATGTGAGTCTGTTGATGCTTGGCTTGGCGTCGGCGGCACTCGAGGCAGACTGGCTGCTCCGGACGGCCTGCATCTGGGTCTCTCCACGGACTCGAGATAAGACACGGAGCACGAGCGAGAACCTAGAATCCGCATCCAGGTCTGGAACTGGAGGCCACCAGAAAGGCATTGCCCTCCAGGGTGGATGACCTTACCAGCTCGCGGCCGACGAAAACCTCTTCCCACCTATCTGCAGGAAAGCGGCGGTTCCAGCCTTCTCATCCACGAGATCTCGTACCGCCTCCGCCTTGGCACGGCCTTGCAGGGCCGGCGTGCAGCGGCACCGGCCAAGACAAGGCGTTCTTCGCCTTCGGCGAAGGCGTGGTAGAGCCGCTCATTGGCAGCCAGGGCCCCTCGGACATGTCGTACACCTGAGGGCGGGACACAAGGACGGCAGCTGTCAGCTGGCAGTATTCAGGAGTCGCTGCTGTCTGAGCAGGCGACGAGCGGCGCCGCTGTGCCGAGATCCTAGGTACTCGATTCGGCTGACTGCTTTGTCCATCGACGGCCAGTACCTCGTTTCGAGCATGCATCTCCTCAAGGCATCGCAATTCGCTTGCTTTGCCAAGCCGCTCCAGCACTTCATTCCACAGCATGTCCTGCAAGGCCGCAGCAATTGAATTTGGCACTGCTTTGCCAAAGCGCACGGCGGAAGATGCTGTCCTCGGCACATTGCACTCGAAGCTGCGAGCAGACAGCTGCCACTGCCGGAAAGTCGTCGCAGGGATAGAGCCATTTGAGACACTGCCTCGAGATTCAAACGCACTTGGAGATGGGTATGCTCCCCGAAATCCTGTGCTCGTCAGGAATGCAACAAAGGCGCAAAACGACCGATGGATCCTGGCAAAGCGGGGTCAAGTTGTCCGGACGAGTGACCTGAGCCGTAGACTTATTAGAGCAGCTAGACAAGTTGCTCCGAAGTCTCCAAGCCTCCATGCGTCGCGCAGACGATCTGTCGGATCGCGGACTGCATTGGAAAGCTTCTGGGTATTCCAACCTTGCTTGACATAAATACAAGCGTTCTCTGCGCATGTACATCAATGGCCTCCTCTGAGAGATGCTGGGATAGCCCCCAGTGCCCGCCATGGCCAGCTACCAGGACAAGGAATTCAAAAACTGAGCGAACGGCACAGCTACGTCGCTTTGGCTCTAGCTTGTTCGCAGCTCCCTCCCGGTTCTTGCTGAACACATGGTGATCCTACTGCGATCAACGTCCACCAAACCTTGAATCTCACCACTTCACAATACCTTGTTTTAACTATGGAAGTCCTAGCTTCAGTACTGCCTGCAGCATGCATGGCGCATATTCTCTGCAGCAATGCAGTTGAGACAGCAAGAGGATGTTGCATCTGAAGCCAACACAACCCGCACGTTGGGATCGGTGTCCAGCCTGAGTGACGGAGTTACCGCAGCGCAGGTCAGCAAAATTTCAACTCCCGGCAGGCAAAGATTCGGGATGCCGGGCGTGAAGGTCCGCCTCCTGGGGCACGACCGATCCTGCAGACACTTTGAGGAAATTCCAGGTGCGCGCAGCCGAGCAGTCATGCCAGAGGGCAGGCCTCTCCACTGTGCTTCTTCCCTTCTTCCAAGCTCGCGATGTTGACCACATAGCATTCCTGAAAGGCTGGGCTGGGACACCTTCGCCCTGTCTTCCTCGATCGTCCAAAAAGGCATTGTAGCCAAGCTGGGGCACAATCCTCAGACGACATGTTGAGGTCGCCAGGACGTACCTCACAGCAGACAGGTATCCTAAATCCTGAAAACCTTCCGAGTGCCGGTGGTTGAGCTGCACACGAGCCGCTTAGTGGCCAAGTTGAAGAAGCAGTTGACACCGTACCTTGTCTTTGCCACGTTTATCACTAGTCACCAATCATGCGACTCACATGTAGCGCAGCATGATTTCTGCAAGTGCCGAGCGCCGTGCTTCACACCAGTGCTTGGTGGCCGCCCTGCATGGACCATGCGGCTATCCTGTGCTCTGCACGGCTGCAGAAAGGAAGGATTTCACCATGCAGCTTGCAGCCTCAGCGCCGTCCGCCTGTGCATTTGGCCACATCACAGCGCAGCCTGGCAACCACAGGCAGGGACCCTCTTGCACTTAGACATGGTGCGGTTCTAGAAACCACCTCTGCGAGGCACGAAGCTGAAACCGAGGTGCGGGAAGTGCGTGTCTCCCTGGCCACTTGCGATGGCATGCTATTATTGGAATGCTCACAGGTCACAAATGCTGCAAGCTCACCCCTTCAGCATCGGCGGGGAGTTCGTTCAGGTACAAGAAAATCGTGATCGGCCGAAACTTTCCATCCTCAGAAAATTGTGCAGAATGGCATTGCCAGCATGAGCGTCGCTTGCTTGGGCGCAGGCATGGTGGAGGGTGAATTCCTGGCCTGGCCTACATCAAAGCTCTGTCAAACTCCAAGCGCTCCTACAAACCTTACTGTGGATGCTGGGATCCTTGAAAAACATCCCGAAGCAGAGGGGTCACTGATTTTAAGAGCCCGGCTCGTACCGCAGAACAACCAGCCGCTCGAGCGTCTCGATGGGCAGCTTCGCAAGCCTTGCCAGAACCGGCCACTGTCAAACCCTCCGGACCAGGTAGGGGCGGCGGTTTCTTGAACTCTAAGGGCCTGAATGTACGAATGCTCATAGTCGGGGTCTATACCGCGGGTTGAAGGCCGTTCCAGCACTACAAATTGAGAGCCGGACTGCGCAAGGCGGTGCTCGATGCGCTGGACGATTGCAGTCTGTGCCGGACCTTACGATACAGCTCCGGTAACAGCTTTCCTCTTCCGCACTGTCCAGGGCTCAAGCGCAGAGGACAGGAGCTGGAAGTTCGAGTCCTCGGAGTCCAAGTCCGAGTCGGATCGGCTGCTGAGGCCGGGAGCTAAAGCAGCGATTCATACGAGTGTACGAACCTTTTGAATCCGTGCTGAAATGCATTCAATGGAAAGAATCTCCGAAAGGCCGTGCTCAACACCAGCCATCCAGGAGAGAGCAACGCCGTAGGCTCGTTATGTACCGAATCCGTGCTAGTCAGGAAGACGGACATCGTGGCCATTACAGCATGCGGAGACCATGGGGCTAGGCCAGACACCAACACGCAATGCAGCCGCAGAGTTCGGCTAGTGATTCACGGCCATGCACCCTGTTAAGGCACCGGGCAAAAGGGGCATCCGCGTTTACGGTGCCGTCTCAAAAGACCCGAGTCAGCGGGCCAAGAACAAAACATATCATATAGCAGGAGAATACAATTTACTTTCAAACAGAGAAAGTGTCCTCCGCCGTTTCGGCGAAAGGTGTCTCGAGCTTGCCTGTAGAAGCCTGCTGCAACTTCTGGAGCAAGGGATTGGGCGCTCGGACTGCCATGGCGAGATCGCTTGCCGTCCTGTTCCGGGAGTTTCGAATATCCAGCCTCGCTCCTGCAGCAAGTAAGAGAGGAACGACACCAAAGTAACCGCTGAGGATGCTAAACATCAGTGGTGTTGCTCCGGCGTGGTGATACGACAAGAGGGTCAAACGCGAGGGGCTGAACTTGTGCCGGAAGCTTCCCAGCTTAAACACCAGCCACCACATCTTCCCCTCGGCTTCGAACTGCTCATTCACATCTGCCCTCGCTTGGATTAAGAAACTGAGCGGTTCAGAGAAGCCGCCTTGAACCATGAGGGCATGATGTAGACAGAACTTCAGGCTTAAGGAAGGGGCCTGCGACCTCAGCTCTGCCATCGCATCCAGGGCAGAAAATGCCGAGGCTACTTGAAGAGCGCTGATGCTAGGATTGCAACGATCGGAAGGATCCGCCCGTGCCTGGCACAAGCACCGGATGGAACCTGCATCATTGGCACAACATGCCCACACGATGGCGGTGGAGTTTCGCGCGTCCCTCGCATGAACATCGGCCCTTGCTGATAGGAGCGTCAATAGGACATCCGGATTGTGGTACACGGCAGCCAAAGAAAGCAGCGAGAATCTTTTGGGCATCGCCAGCTCCTTCTTGGGCTTGGTGATGATCGGCGACCAGCCGGCCGAGTCCCTCTCTAGCGGACTTCGGAAGCCGTTCTGGTGCAGGAACCGCGCCAGCTCAAATTCCCTCGGCTGATTGAAGGGGTCAGCATCCGTGACGAAACCTTCAACCACACCGTCAATGGGGTCCATGCTGAGGCCCTGGAACCAGCGCGACTTTTGCTCGTTCAACAAGAGCCGGTAGTTGTGGAGGTCGCCTACCTCCCGATAGTACCACAGCTTGTTCCAGATCATTTGAACCAGCATGTGCCCAATCCGCGTCCTGTCGGACTCAACGGTAAATGTTCCCATCGCAGGGGGCGATCTGAGCAGGTCATAGTTCAACTTCGCATGAGTCGGGCTCTCGATGATGATAGTGCAACTGTCATTCCTGGCAGCAAGGTCCTGGGCCATTTTCTCAGCACGACACCAGCCTCACGGTGCGGAAGGTGTTCTTGCAGGTTAGGGTTAGGGTTTACTCCAGTCTGAGGGCTGTTGATCTTCTATGCTCTGAGCCCTGAGCCTTGACTTGAACAGGATGACACACACACACAAACCGAGCAGTGCGGTCAAAGCGTGGCCCTTGCGCAAGGCGACACGTTTGCCATGGATATCAGTCGCATCAAGACCGAAGTGTGAAAGGTTCGGGATGGTAGAGGGTTCGGGATGAGGGTCTGAAGTAGAGTATTTTAGGACTGAGAGCCTGGACTCCTTCGTCGTCATGATGTCTAGTTATGATCCAGTAGAGGATGTTCCGAAGGTTTTAGAATCTCTTTCCGCGTAAGGGCACTAGCCTTTCGCACGCCCACTGCGATCAGACTTATGAACTCTCTCCCACTTCGCTATCCACTTCTTATTTCGACCAACCAGCCTCTGCCAGTCCACGTCTCATATGAGAGAGTCTCCCCTTGCTCAGCATGTGCCAGTGCAGGGCAGAGAACCACGAAGTGCTTGCACTTCGAAACGTAGGATGGTATGCCACCAATTGCGCGCTGTCGATTTCGACTTGCACATTCAGATGTATCTTGCGGACAACACAGGAAATCGTACCAAATGTAGAGAGGTGCGGATGTCAGGTCTGATGCTGTTGGACACTTCAAGCGGCCGTGAAATATCTCGGACTGAACCGGCTGGCTTACTTGGGCCACTCCGGACAGAAGATTTCTTAGAGCCTCTTGCAACACCTGTAGCTGCTCGTTGTCTGGATCCGGATGGTGGCTCGCAAGCCACTGGTGCGAAACAAACATCGCCCTCCCCATGGTCTCGTCGAAGATGGTGAGACGCTTCGCTTCCATCATGTCTTCGTGCGGCAAAAGCTGGACGAGCTCCATGAAAGTGGAGAGAGGCACCGTGTACATGGGAAATTCCTCCCGAAAGTCCAGGCCCGAGCGGGTTCTTGTCACTCCTTGTGTGCTTGTTCTCCCCAAGCCCTAGACCCTGGGCTCTAGACTCTAGACCCATCATGACCACCCTGAACGTCAAGCGCAAGAGGTCAGTCCTTCTGCTGCTGCTCCCATTTGAAAGGAACCCGCATATCGGACCGATGAAGTGTCTGTCATGGAATGCATACCATTGCAAGGCTAGAGCTAGCCGAAAATTTGGCAACTTGGGCCTAAGAGCCGCGCAGGAGATGTTGGACAACAGATGGATCACTTCACATCTTAGAGTTTATCTCGGGAAGGTCTCAGACTCTACGGGCTTAAGGGTCTGTAGATGTTTAAGGTGTCAGGCATCGTCAGGCTTCAAGGTTAGGAGCTGGAAATGTCTGGGGCAGGGGGATGAAGGCCCGCAAGGTTCGGAAGGCTGAAGGACTGAAAGTCCAATGAGTCCGCTCGCAAACTGGGATCGCGAGTTGACTTCTGCAACTTGCCACCTTGGCCTTGCTTTGTCCGGTTCCGGGTGCGAAAATCTCTGCGACTTGCCCCGCCACCCCCTTTTTCCCTGCTTGCTTACAAAAACATACCTCTGAAATGCCTACCTCCCCTGAGCCAGATTTCCAAGAGCACATGATCAGGGCGGGGACTGCTAGGCGCCCGCGCTGGGCGGCTGCCGACTCCACCGTCTCCGCCTTCGCGTCGGAGTATTTGCCGACCTGCGTCTGATGCCCAACCACAAGGGTCCGGTCCGGCCCCGGCATCTCAAAAGGTGCCGGAAACATCCAGCCAAGCAGCCAGAGAGCGGATCCACCCACCCTGGGCGAGATCACAGAGGTGCTGGCACCTACCGAGAGGCTGGCAGAAGTAGATCGGTAATGACCATCTGTGCATGCTACCAGATCGAGTGCACAGCCATAAACACAACAAACCCACACCGCACACGCGGACAAGTGCATTTTTATCGTCGCTTCCTCATGTCTTTACGACTTTGACACCATGCTTTCGACAGCGATCCAGTGCCATGGCAACCTGAGAGAAGGAAGTTCTGGGAGTCATGGTTTCGCACAATACAGAAACCGGCTCTCTGCAACCAGGCCGCATTGGCCGGTGTAACCTCGTTCAACGTGCCGACAAGGCTCTGGGCAAAATCCTGCTCCGTGATCTCCTGGTGGCAGTCCGTGATACCCGAGCTCTGCTGTCCGGCTGCACGTGCCAACGTCCATCATCTCAGGACAGCACCAAGGGGCCGGTAGTCGGCGCCAACTGGAAGAGCACACAATCCAGCGTCTGCCTCAGCCCTGCGATGCGCCTCACGTTCAGTGATGCTGCCAATGTGTCTGATGGCGCCACTCCCCTTCTTCGTTTCGCTTTCGAGTTCGGCCGTGCTGCTTTGGATCAGGCAACTCCTCGGAAACATACTCCAGGTCCTCCTCGCCGGGCGGCGTGCTGTAAGGCATGGTGGGTCTGTCCTCAGGCAGGGCTCCCGGCAAACTCGCCACACACGCTCCTATGTCCCAGCCAAGCATCGTAGAAATACATCCAGGGCAAATGATCATGCCCACTGTGGGCAGAACCGGAGCCAGCGGTGGGCAAGAAGCCTGCGTGATGGCGGGCTGTGCTGCATGTTTACCACGACGTTTCTGGAGTCTAGAGTCGGAACAGGAAGCGAAAACCATTGGTGCAGCGAAGCTTCGATAGACACGAGCAGCACCTCCCCGCAAGAGGTGTGTTCTGAAGCGGATATCCTCGGGCCGACTGTCTCTCTGCCTCCGCCACTTCGCATAGAAATACTTGAAGACATGCCGAGCAGCAGCGAACTGGTTCGCAATAACCCGGTTGTTGTGCCGGTCGAAAAAGTCCTAAGCTTGATAATCGGATATGCGGGGGATTGCGCGGGCTTCAAGGATGCCCTGCGCAAGAAGCCCAAATCACCAAATCCAACTACTCGGCGTCGCCAGTTTCGACCAAACGACAAGTTGCCAGAGCCCGTCAACTATAGCGGGGCTTTCTAAAACCTTCTTCTTAATCTTTTGCTGGGTTGTTTTTTCGGGGCTCTGAAAAATAAGTAAGAAACAGGTACCTCGATAGGAACCATAAAGGAAATTAAAGTTTCCCAAGTTGCCACCTAGTTTGGGTTACGCTTCATGCACACCCTTGAAAGATCTCTCGCCGGCAAAAAGGAGCCCAGCGGCATCGAAGACTTCGAACTTCGCCGCTGCGTCGAAATACTCCCCGGTTGCTGTACCGAAGAGGCCCGGCTTCTCCTCAGGCTCAAGACTTTTTCCTTAGAATTAGGGGCTGCGGCAGGGCTCTTTGGGTTCAGGGTTTACGGGAAATAGAATATATGGAACGGTAAACGAGTAGACTAGACTATACTGCACTGCACGATGTACTGCCGTGTGCTGCATCATACTGTGCTACACTATTCTATACTGTACGACACTGTCCTATACAGTCCTTCTTCTATCCGATACTAGCCTGCAGTGGACTAGACCAGACTGACTACAATGTAATGTAATAACATACATAATCACATAAAATTTGGACAACCAATTACCTGCCCTGGCAGCGATGATCTGCGATGACGTCCGGCCTCCTCTGCGCTGATGGCCAGGCGAAGAAGTCCGTCGGCCTCGGTCTGCCGCGCGCAGTCACCCCTCGGACCCCTATCACACTCCTATTATATATATATATATATATAATTACAGAAAGCGTCGCACTGCAGGCCCGAGTTTTGGAGCTTTCCCTTTCTCCATATTGTAAGCTAGGATTGTGCAAGAGTGTTGCATTTATTTGTTTACAGGAAAAATTACTGAACAAAGAAAAATGTTATCTGATTGAACGATCCTGTGGGAATAACGGGCCTGGATAGTGTCTGCAACATTAGATAGCCTAAACCAAAGAGCCAAAAGGCCTGGAGTCCGTGGCCCTGGCCCTGGCCTTGCAGATGGGGGGGGGGGGGGGGGGGGAAAAAAAAAAAAAACTAATTTGTTTTCCCCCCCCTCCCCAGTCCAGCCCAGGGACCTCAAAACCTCAAAGTGCAGCCCTTCTGAGGCTAGAGCCAGGCCTTCGGACCAAGCCAGCGAATTTCAGTAATTATACAAATCTGTAAAGCCTTCAGGCCTTAGGCCAAGAAACAAGATCATAAATCCACCTAGACCCAGGACCGAGGAGAAACCTCATAAAGATCTTCATCTCTATCATCCACCCCCATGAGACATATCAAGATTGCAACATAAGGTTATAGGATATTTTAATAGGTATCACCTCTTGCATGATCCATATGTAGAGCTTGTCCATGCATTCCTGGGTATGTTTGTAGATACATGTGTCTATGTGATCATTCAACTTGACAAGTCGCATGACATCGCATATGTGTTTGTATACATATATATGTATAAACAGAGGAACCATGCATTTAACAGTCGTGAATGTGTGCGTATATATATATATATAGTTACACTTAGCATGTATGTCTAAGTATGTTTTTCCTATGAATATCATACAACAATGATTAGAAACCGGTCGTTGAAAACTACATTGTTGATGCCAAACTCGGTTCATGTCTAAATACATATGTGTTATCATGTCAGGTGTACAGTTTATATATAATATATACATGTATCGATCGGTCGAAAACATGTACGATAGTGACAGATGTGCAAGTTGATAGGGATATCTCAACCATCGATTTGGTTTATATATATATATATATACACACACGCAAATTTGTTGCGGCCTTAGGGTTTAGAAAGTTAAAGGCTTATGCAACCCCATCACAATGTTGTGCTTTTGGGTGAAACACTCGGTTTTATCATGTTTTTTACTGGGTGATTGAAAATTGCACTATCAGACATGATGCATGCATTCCCCAAAAGATGCATAAGCCCTGATACGAGATGATAGATTACAATCCCAATCGTTCGTTCAGATAACCACGGTTGAAACTGCGGAGCGGATAGGCGGGACCCCCCCCCCCAATCCTATCAGGCATCGCCTTATGCTTTCGAAACCACAGCCTTAGCAGGATATGAATAAGAGCAACGGACATAGGTGGCCAAATCTTCATCGATATGACTAAAGATGATGGACCCAAATTGCGCAGACACAGACAAGATGACAGCAATCAATGAAATAAATGACTCGGAAGACTGGCAAAAGTTCAAAAAGGGCTAGAATGGAGGAGTGGTTCGCAGTGGTTCGAGAAACGAAACTTTCCAAATACAAGTGGACATAGTGGAAGGCTGTCCAAACGGCTAATAATGATTAGATATGATGCAGTTTATGTAAAAATGTTTAACAGATATGTATAAATACATATAGCTCTTAAATTAAGATATGGGAGACAGATGATGCGTCTCAAACACTAACATCACGATTGGGTTCCAGCAATCCACCATATTGGACAAGTTGGGTGGCAAGCCCAAAAAAAATTCAGGGAGGTGATGGAATTCAGTTCATCATCCCGAAGAAGGGTAGCAAGTTTGAATGCATGATATATTCTGATCAGGATACATGGGTGGCGTGTCCAATATGTTCATCCTTGGCGGCAGACTGCGGCTAAAAATCCATAGTCAACCCCACTAGGTCAGAAACACGTTAAACTCCAACAAAAGATGATATGTGGAAATTCAGCAACTTAACACAAACATGGTGGAGAGCCAAGACTAACATCTAATTGAGGCATTTCTGTCCCAACTAACAAGGCATAACTGATGTTACACTAGAACCCTGAAAGATACAGTGAATGCCAAGATCCAGAAATAGGTCATAACATCTGACATGTTCCTCAAGCATACCTACTGGGTCTAAAGAAAAATGGAAGGGGTGGCAAACCCGAATATTTCGAATAGGTAACTTAACAGCACAAAATCAAATGTCTGTTGCATAACTGTGTTGGTCGGTTACCATTCAGCATGTTTGTAAACTTGAAGGAGGTTTTGCCATTGTGTTCGATTTTGCTACAGATGAGCCAAAAGTCTTGAGAAGCATGAAGAATGTACTGAAACTCGCTTATTTCGACTGAAAAACACGGGCCTGCATTCCGACGCACTCTCTATAATTATATATATATATATATATATATATATGTAGACTCCTCGTCCTCTGGTCATGTGGCCTCCATCCGCGTCACCTCTGCAGATGTGGCATCCAGCGGCAGACGCGGCCCAAGGCCAGGTGACAAGTGGATCCTCGCATGCATCTCATCATATCTCATCTCGGCAAGCTGCACGAAAGCCAGGCCTTGAGTGCACTACAGGCACGTCGTCGGGTCTGTCCTCGCAGTCTCAGCGACAAGTAGAACTTCTCTCAAGACAAGCAAGGCCTCACGAATCCGACTTGACTGCGTCCTGAATCGCCGCTAGATACTCCTCAGCCCTGCGTGGATGCCACAGATCCTGGGGTTGCATTTCGCAGGATAGCAAAACGGCAAGAAGCGAACCCCAACCAGTCTATCTACATGGGAAGTCAAGTCAAGTGTCATCGTCGTCCGAGAAGAAAACCCATGGCTGATCCGATGCTTGAATGTGACGCTTCAAGCTTTCCTGCAAACATGCGCAAAACAGTGTCGGTCAGCACCGTGGCTGGCACTCACAACAACTTCCCGCGTCCCGCAAGCGTGCGTAGTGTTGGAACTGTGCCCGCCGACCCCTCAATCGGGGCATCGCATGGATGACGCCCCTGCGCGGCACCGTTGATCAGACTCAAAAGGATGCTGCGGCAGCTGAAAGGAACAAGCGGACTGCTCCAGCCTTCTTTGGAAGTCATCGATGACTGCAGAGGCTCGTTCGGCCACGCCGTCTTGGGAGGCCCGGTCCTTTTAAGCGTGCGCAACTGCTGCCAACTGTGAATGCAATTCACGCCAACGTCACGTCGGGAGTCTTACATTGAAAGCAGGAACCAAGGAGCATGACTCAGCGGTACGTGCGCATGTTTTAAGTCGCTTGCTGCTTACTGTGCAGTGCAGACACAGCAGTAGCGTTTCTCTGAAGACGGAGCCGGCCGGATCCGAAGATCTAGCAACATGCTGCAACATGCAGGCTTCAGAGGCAGTCAAGTGTCTCTCAGAGATCGAGACTGCTGTTGAATTCCTCTTTAGGTGGGATCTAGGATTCACGCGTTTGAGGCGTTTGAGTGCCGTCTTTCCGACACACAGCTGACGGTCAGCGGAGTCCGTTGTGTAGATCTCCTACTTTCAGTGGTCCAGGCGTCGCTGCCCATGTTGAGCTTGCTCTTAGGTTCGTACACAGACATAAAGGAGCCTTCTAAGTGGAGGGCGTTCGATCCAGAAGCACAGATGTAGACTCTAGGCATATACTGCAAGCAGTTCTGCTCCGACCCAAAACCCTTCTAGTAACGCAGCAAGCGAGTGACTGTCAAGGGCTGTGCACTGATGGAGATGAGCAGCCCTTGACAGTCGCTCGCTTGCTGCGTTACAAAAAGGGCTTTGGATCGGAGCAGAACTCCTTGCAGTATATGCCTAGAGTCTACATCTGTGCTTCTGGATCGAACGCCCTGCACTTAGAAGGCTCCGTGCATGCTTTTATGGACTGGGCAAGTTGCCTGGCATTGTCGTTGCCTCAGACAGCGTTCTGGTTGCGTCGGGACATCCCCATGCGGCGGACTATCAGCCGCCATGGCGAAGCACGCACCTACAGCAAAATGCCCTAAGGTGCTCTGGAGTCCTCTGCAATATGAGGATGCGTCACGCTTATGCAAGTCACACTGAGTGAACAAACCTCGTGGCAGTGCAGAACGCATGCTGCAGACCCGTCGGTGCCTCCGCATCCTCCGTAGACCAACTTACAAGCAAAGGTACAGACAGCGTCTGCTCTTCGACAGAGCGAAGCAATCCTTGGCTGCGATCTGCGGCTTCCTTCGGAGCTCAAAGCCTGCATCTCTGCCACGGCAAGGGTGGCTTATGCAGCTTGGCAACTCCGCAACCGATCGACCCGACTTGCATCTTTTGATGCAAAGTGTGCGGCTAGCAGTCCTGGAAAAGGGCGAAAAACTGCAGAACAATCAAAGTGCCCTCGGTTTCTTTGCCATGATGAGCCGAATGTCCCCACCTATCAATCGAGGTCGCGCGACCATCGATAATGCATCCTTCTCCTTCCGTCGTTGGCAGCTCTATCGTTCGGAATGGAAACTACTGCGCTCCAGCTTGTTGCGATCATATTTGCAACGAAGGTGCCGCCAATCAGGCGCCATGAGCGCTGCCCCGAGGCTGCTGCTGAAAAGGCTACGAGTAAGGCAGACCGTGGTTCACACGGAAAAGTTTCACAGGCAGAGAATGAGGCAGGCACTCCTCAGGACTCAGAAATTGCGGTACTGCAACCATTCGAGGGTCCTCGGGTCAGGTCGCATCATGCTTCAACCGGGGTCTAAAGCTTCAATCAATGCGCCTCACTCACGACCAAGCTTCGCAGTCCTGCACTCAGAGTGTTACCCTCTCGCGAGTATGAGTAGTCATCGGGACCGGTGATGTCGAAAAGTATCTTCCCACCTGTCGGTGCCCGCGTCTGTGGATCAATGGGTGGCCTCAAGCTGAGTGTAGCGCATTTCGAAACAAGTCCCAAATGATGCTGGTACACGCTTGCCGGGTGCATAAGTTCGCTTTTGCCTTTTCTGCGAGAGCACGTAACTGTTGCAACTCCTCCATCGACACCTCCTGACACGATCAAAGACACAGATCATCTTCTGGCTTCAGCCTCTGAGGCGCATCCGCCTCGACATCAATTTGGCCGGTTCCGCCCACCATGCCCTGCAAGCCTTCGGGGTCCTGCAAGGCCGAGATGCATCGGCTTGAGATGCCAGCGCAGGTGCCAGTGCGGGGCGAGGCGCATGGCTCAGGAACCATCGTCCGATGAACTCCACACCGAGGTCAGATGCTCCAGAAGCTCCCGTTGGGCACCAAACAGGCTGCACAGGGCCCGCGAGGTCAGCCGGCGTGGCGGTGGCCGGGGCCTGGCCATCCGACTGACTTTTGCACAAGATTTTCTCTTCTGGGCAGAAGTGCGAAGTTGCGAGGTGCAACACGAAAGCACGTCACCGACCTCTGCCGTCACTGTTCGCAACAGTTCTGGCCAGGAATCTCCTTGCGGCAGTTGCCTCAGAGTCTACCAAGACACTCTCGTTCACTTCGGTGCTGCTTATGTTCTGCGTTTGCTTGAATTTGATGCGGTCTGAGCGGCATGTTGGGACCTGAGCTGCTCCCGGGAAACTCCAATATACTCAACATGCCAACGACATGGGAGCCGCCCAGCCGAATTCCGCGGCGAGCTACCCAACGGCTGTGTCGGAGATGGAGCTGGCGAGCCTTCACAGGACGGTGTAACGCCGACAACCCTAAGCAGATGACAACTCGTGCGGCCAGAGGAGCCACATGGCCCCTGCTCACCCCAGAGGCCCAACATCAGTGTGGCACGTGGCTCGGGTGGTTCCGCAGGGTCGTGTGCCTGCCCATGCAAGATCGACAGGGCTGCTGGAGCTTGACCTAGGAATTGGTTAAGCATGGCCTGCAAGGCAATGTTGGGGATGACGCCATGGAGCAGGCCCCCGTCAAAGAGTAGCACCTGGGAGTCACACCCAAGCGGGGTATAGGAAGGATGTCGTGCGGAGCCGAGGTGCTCGGTTGACTTTGGGCTCGCACAGCCATGCCCTCCTCGCACGACTGCCAGGGTTCAGCGTCTGATCTGTAACCTCGAGTGCTCAGGAAGGCTGTTACAGATAGTCCAGCTTCAGCCGCTAGTCTTCCAGACCAGCTCAGATATGTAGCCACTCAATCAAGCTATCGTTGGCCACGGTGCGATGGTGGTGGAAGCTGTGCTTGCACTGCCACCTCACAGCTCTGGCCGTACGTGCACAAGCAGGGGGTGCTCTTCTCTGGCTTTACACTGATGCAGGTACCTCCACATCCTCTGCAAACATGCGTGTAGTCATCGAATGTTCATGATCGCGTGCTTTTTCCAGGTGGAGGATCTTCATGCTTGCGACGATTACGTCGGCTGCTGAGCGCTCAGCATTTGACGTGTTTTAAAGTCGCAGCCCACGGCACTGCAGATCACGCGGCACAACCACCATGCCTTCGGCAGGTGGGGTCACATACTCACTTACTTTGCTCAGTTCTTTGCTGGGCTTAGCCATGGGTTGCCATTGCGTTGCATAATAAGAAGCCATGCACACAACACAAGCAGCACGCGAAGAGGCATAGAATGGTGGAGACGGACATGTAGATGATGGTGTAAACCCGATCCCAAGTTGCAACCAGGTCTTGCGAGAGCCCCCAGTACCACACCAGGCAGGTAAAAACCAAGAAGCCGACGATGGCTTGAGCACGGAACAGGATCATGCCAGCTCGAGTGCCGACCTGTGGGTGCAAACGGAGTAGCAAAGTCTTCCACCAGACCATCACACAGACACCTACTCGATACCATGTCTCACGGAAAGGCGACTCTTCTTGGAACAGAAGCGGAAATACTCCGTGAAGGATATCGGAGAGCAGAAACAACCACAACTTTATCAAATCGACGTGGCAGCATGTGCACCGGTCACTCCATTGATGCATCACTGGCAGAATGACTTGGATCTCGGTAGGTGAGTCAATATCTTTGACCTCATCTAGGTTTGCATTTGCCCTGCACACTGCTATCCCCTCGCCGGTCTTTAAAAATACCTGCGCTGCTCCAAGCGAAATCAGCGGCCACATGACTCCATCTCCTTTGCAGAAGTACACATAGAGGATGCACTGCCCTGCTTCAACAACGCAGCTGACCAGACAAACCATCCACCTCGAGCAGCGGGCCCATTGCTTGGCCATGACTTCAAGCAGGCCATCTCCAAAAGCATAGCCAGCCCAGAGAAGCGCTAAAAGATACATCCCACAAGAATCATCAATGAAGATCGCTGCGAGCAGGTCTTCGGTGAGGTTAAGAATCACAAGCACGAACTGAACGGCCACCAGCGTGCGAGTGCCAGATGTGCAGGCCATGCCTACTGGCCTTTTCTGAAGAATGTTGCCAAGGGGCTCTGGACCGAAACCCTGCAAGACCCGTCTACCCACTGTTCCTGAGACCGGGTTTACAGTCAGATTGTGAGACTGCTCAACTTTGAAACCCGAGTCGAAGCCCAAAGAACGCGGCCAGTTTGCAATTCAGGTCGGGCTTATTTCGGAATGAAATCATGCTCTAAACTGCAATGGGTTGGTTGTCGTGCTGAGTGACTCAGATGCAGTTTAATTTCAGTAGAATGCCGGCACCATTCCAGCAGGTGACACCATCCCAAACGTTCTGTGATCAAGGACCGGCCGGCTCTGGTGGTTTCGTCGATCGAACATCGGGTCATTGTGCCGGCGGCTTTCTGTCGGTCCTAGTTACAAGCTCTGCTTACAACACTTGCATCTACCCAATCATACATACAGTAGCCGGACAAAAGGCTTGCGTACATCATGCTACCTGGATGTGTTCTGGCCTTCACGTTTCTTCTTGCAATTACACATACAAGTACTAAACGACATGCAGTACATGAGCTGCTGCGCTGGGAGCTCATTGCTCCAGCTCAGGCTTACAACAAGGTTCTTTTGCAAGTCATGCGCGCGGCAATTGTGCCGGCGTTCCTTCTTGGTGCAAGCACGTTCGTATGTACGGTGCCCACTCATGGCTGACAGCTCTTGCTTAAGGCTTATAGCTATCCGGTATGCGGACCAGGTATAAGTACGCAGGAATTCTTGCATGTGCGCATAGGCGCAAGTACGTGGACTCTCACGTATGTGCATGTTCATTTGGCCGCCGAGCGGCAGCTGAGGTACAGAACGCAGGACACCAGCGGGTGATGCGGAAGGGATCCCTCCTTCAATGAAGATGCCCGCACTGGTAAGATGCGGTGACGAGAAGCTGGCTTCAACTAAGCACCTTCAAGGTGGGAAGGCTCACCTCGTCCAGGTCGTAATGCAGCCTCGGAGGTCCTAGAGATCCCAAGCCAACCTTTGCTGACACGATCTTCGGCCCAAGCTGGTGGCCACTGCCGGATCCTGCAGGACGCGTATGAGCCCACCACTCCTGAGCTCCAAAGGCTGAAAGCGAATGAACGGTGCTGGGAGGAGCTTTGACCCGCCGAGCATCAACTGAGGAGACCTGTCGGCCACAGCCTGCCCGTGAGCACAAGGCTTCCAGACATAGTATGCAGTGCAAAAGTACAACGTATCCAAATAGTTCATAGAAACTATAAGCATACATACATATACATATACATATATGTATATGTATAATATGTGTGTATAGTATACTTATCAAGATAAGAACAAACATCACAAGCAGCCTTTTCTCCCCATGCCATTATATGGCTTGCTCCCACCGCCTTCGGTACCGAAGATCGAAGGGAAGCTGGCCACCGCCAGGCTTTTTACACGCGATGCCACTGCCCGGATCAGCGGGGCCCCTGTCTCAGCGGCGCACTCCTGGATGCGGGGATGCCCTGAATAAAAGTAGGGCTGACGACTTGTATGGTGCAAATCTGCGGTCTGCAGACCAGCAACTGGCATCAGAGGCTCATTGTAGGAGAAGAAACTCGGAGTGGGATATTTGTGCCTTGGCTCAGTATGACACCACACCGAAGCCAGTCGGCTGCCCTTGAAACACCCGTGAGCATCAATGCACCAAGGACCCAACACGTCCAAGCGGCTCTTTCCAAAACGGGGATCCTGCTCTGAAGGCATCCTGCGCAGTGATGAGGTCAGCATCGGGTAGACAAGCCCAGTCAGAAAATTATTCATGCAGGGGTCTTGGACCAAGCACAGAAGCTCGGACGGCAGCACATCGTCAAAGGCGGCGACTAAGTTGGCTTCACCTTCACCATATCGGTATTGTCATTAGAAGTGTGGTTCCGGCTGCCATTGTTGGTGGTTTGTTCCATCGTCTTCACCATTGGTCTTTTGCAAACGCATTGAAGATGTGTCAGTCTTCAACCTTCAATATCCAGTCTATCGAGCTGAGAGAAACTCCAGCCTCGACATGTCGGGCCTTTGAGGCAGCTCCCGTCCAGCACGGATGGGCACAGCCTGAGGGAGGACTTGAAAAATGACTCGTGATTGCACTGAGAGGAGTTAAAGTATGGAGGAACCCGCCTTGTAGAGCTCAAGCTGCTTTAAGATCATGGTCAGTTGCGATCCAGTAGATACGACGTCGCATGTCTCGTCCGCTGAAAGCCCTTCTCTTCCGGGAGCCTTGACCTTGCTGTGTGCTGAGCCGAGTGGCTTCCAAGTCAAGCCGAGCTGTCGTAGCCAGTCATCTGCCTCCTTCGCGAAGCTTTTTGATTTAGGGAACTTTTGACTTCGGGAAGAGCGACGAAGTGTTCAGCAACCATGGCTTCTTGTGGACGTCTCACGCAGAGCAGCCTCGTGCCGGCCGAGCTGGGAAAGAAGCAAGGCAAGCTCGTACTTTGCGACCTGCGCTCGCGAAGGATTGTTCGCTGGCGAACAGCACCACAAACCTACAAACACACCTTAGCGGTAGCGTACCTCCACCTGTGCTCCCCGGCCGGCAAGAGCAGCTCGCAGCAAGTCGAGGGCCTCATCGCAGCGGCCTGCGGGACTCAAGCACCCTCTCTGATTGCAAAAGATCTGAGGAGCGAGGGCCGCGTCCTGCATCCTTTGCCGCCTTGGCTTGGTCCTTATCATTCCGTGAGGAGGATGAGATGGATCCCTCCAAGCCATCGCTTTCTTCTGCCGAGCGGCCACAGGGCTCGGCCGCTTCGGGCCTCTGTTGGTTCCCCGTTTTCCTGGGTATACGAAAGAAGTCTCGCTTAGCGGAGGTGGAAGAACTATGATCGTACAACGCCACAAAGTACTTCTTAACAAGTACAATACGAACACTAAGACTAATACAAATACCAATCCTAGCGATAATTATTACAGACCAGCTTCGGATGCCCAATTTGCCCATGGTGCGGGCGACGATTCGGCAGTTTCATGTGCTGTATTGGCGGCGTGATGTGACGCGACTAGACTGTTCACGTCTGACAAAGGGTTCTTGGAAAAAAGCTGCGAAAGTCGGTTTCTCCTTATACTTGGGCCTAAGGGCTTGCCGACCAAGAGCACGAAGATGTAAAACGACTGCCCGGCTCTGTCGTGCCTTGCTGTTTGTCGCACGCTCCAACGTACAATCTCTGCAAGGATCGCTGGAATCTCGACTTGGTCGAGCTCCCTTCCCAAACGTCTGCCATCATCACCCATCTATGTACAATGTCGCCACTGGACTCTCTGCCAATCACCAGCAGAAGAGCACGCAGGAGCCAAGCATTAACTGGAACAGCTGGCCAATGATTCCAAGCTCGGAGTTCAGTACGCCGTGAAATCGCCCATCGTTCGAGCAGGTGCCTCGGTTGCCTCGGTTCACCTTCTTCGCGAGGGGTGCTCCAAGGGAACTTCTTGCCGTCCGCGGTTCGGGATCAACTGCTTCTTGCCTTGATTTGGGTCGCGCTCTTGCCATCAGAAGGACTCGTGAGCCTCCTCAGTCGCAGCGCTTGCGCACTCAGACTCGAGGACATACTGTCCTGGCTTTGGTCATGACTTGTGCTGGGGAGACAGCTGCCGGAAGGGCCACTTGCCTGTAGAGGCTGTTCACCTCGGCGACACAGCAGAGAGCCTCGGCCTAAGCCTCTGCGACTCGGGGGCTCGGGCCTTAGAGATGGCGAAGGCCAGGCGCGCCGGATTGCCGCTGGAGCTCGCTGCTTCGGTTGCGACCTGAGCGAGTTTCCAGCTTCACTCTCGAATCACAGATCCAGCTCCGAAGAGTGCTGCCAAGCGGCTCTGGGTTGCTGCCTTTCTGTGTCGGGGAGTCGAGACGCCGAGACCTGCAGATGCAACGAAAGTCCGGCACGCACACCTCGGAGAGAGCCTCTTTGGCCTGATTCAAGGCTGGCCGTCCAGGCTCCTGCAAAAAAGTGAGATCATTCTCGCCAGACTGAGCAGCACCAGCCTGGCCTGGGGCTGCAGGTCAGCAATGAGGCTGGCTGCGGGCGAGCCGGAGCGATCCTGCCATGCCCAGAATCAGAGTGTCTCACCGTCTCTCCGACAACTTCCGCTCCATGCAAGGAGCCTCCTCCTGTCGTCTTGACGCCATCGCCTTGGACCTTGCCGTCCGTAGGATCGAGAACCCGTATATTCTGCCTTCCTGGCTTCGACTTCTTCGGCGCAAGCCTCGGCGCTGCCTTCGCCTTCAGCTTCGGCTTCGACGCATCTGAGCTTGCAAAGGGCCTCAGCAAGAGATGACGCGGCACGAGCTTCTATGCTCTCACTGGGCCATTGCGGGCACCGAGAAGAAGAACGTCAATCGCAATGTGAATAACCATGACAAGAGAATTCGAAACAATGAGAGTGACAATCTGCCCGCCGAAGAGCAGTGTCCTTTCCAACATGGGCAGTGGTTCTTACCACAGCACTCAGCAATCATTCTCTCACTTCAACTGTAGTTTGAATGCTACACCACAATGATACCAACAGCGACCATCCCGCTACGCACGAAGATCAAAAGTTGGTAGGCTGCTAGAAATCCAAAAATGCTTTTTCTGAACCCAGGCTCCTGCATCAGCTGGGAATCGGCATCCAAAAGCAAATCAGACGAATTACATTCGCTAGTCAGAAATAAAGCTGAAAAGAAGCCACCGGCCGAGGAGCGAGAGACGAGGCTCCTTCGAGCGCGGATAGACTCCGGCGGCTCGACTTGGCTTCTTTCCGTTTGCCTGCGAGGTCCAACGTCAAGGTTCTGCTCAGCTTGCAGCTTTTCAAGCTAGCCCCGCTTGGTGAAGCTACAATCAACCTTAAACCACACACTTGAGAATTCGATCTCACCTCCTATCAGCTGTAGCAGCAAAACTTGAAAGCTTAGTCGTGCGTTGGGTTTCGGCTTGATGCACTTCTCGATTCGAGCATGTCACTCAGAGATGGCTATCCCATGCTGTACCAGCTCTTGTGACCAGCATCACAGCCTTTTTGCAGGATTGTGCCTAGCGTCTAGCCGATTTGCTAGCAAGGAATTTGCCGCCGGCTTTTGGTGGCACGTGCCACAGGCCTGCTGCGCCTCGACCACAGCACCGCTCTCGTAGCCTCAGAGAAAAGCAGCGACAGCAAGACTCCAGCTTTGGCTGCTTATCATCATCGGCTTGTAGCCATCTCAGTGAAGCATGCGGCTCACCATCTAGACTGTCAGAAAAGTCCGGTGATATTGATTCCACCTAGACAAGCCAAACCATCCTTTCGCTGAGCAGCGCAGCTTCCATTGCGAAGGCCCTTGACGCCACATGTGCCAGTCTGCCTTCTGCCCATTGAAATACCTTCGCAGGAATCAGGCACCTCTCATCCCCGCAATGTCACCTACCCGCGATGCAGAAGAGCCACTGACCCTCCTCCACTGCACCGTCGGCCCAGGCATATGTGCCAAAGCCGTGCTTTCGGTTACCGGAGTACTGGCCTTCGAACTTGTCACCGTTGGTAAACCGCACCTTGCACAGCAGTCACTCTCCTCGGATCCTCTCTGGTGTTGCCCTGCTTCCATTCACAGTTGACGCCGAGCAGCCAGTCCGCTTCCAGATGCCTCACCCCGGACCCACTGACCCTCGAAAATGCCGCCGTCGAAGACGAGCGTGCCCACGCCGTGCCGCTTGCCTCCGCAAGGCCAGCACAAGTACAGTCACAGATGCAGCCTTCGTTTTCGTCGGCCTGAGACCCACTGCCCGGCATAAGTGCTGCCATCGTTCTGGTTCAGAACTCCCCATCCTTCACGGAGGCCGGCCTCAGCAAAGTGTATCGACTTTGAGAACGGTTCATCGCAGTCCGACCCAGGTTGATCTGCTGCCACCATGGCGCGGCGTTCCGCAGGCCCTTGTAAACGCTGGCAGCTTCAAAACCTGCAGCCTGCCACGCATGTACTTCGCGGGACCGCGGATACACCACCTGAGCGACAAGCCGAGGCATGAGTCGATGTAAGCGTCACACGCAAGGTGGAAATGCAAACTCGTTAACAGCTTTCAGGCCAAGCACCTTGGACTTTTGCTTGGATTTGGGGCTGGTGTCAGGTCGCGCTGACCGTCCTCAGTGCAAAGTTACCGACACCTTGCACCAACTTAGACACTTTGCTTTTGCAACCATGGGGCTGGTCGGGGAGGCCTCGGCCAAGGCCCGATCGCCACGTCCGTTTTTATTGCTTGGAGAGGAAACGAAATAGTCTGAGTACTTCTGGATGATCTGCAGAGCACGGCAGCTTGGCTTGAGGCTTCAGCTCCTCCGCTCCCCCGCTCACGCCTCGAATTCAACTTCCTATGAATTTCCAGGCCTTCTGTGAGGGGATCACTGGGTCACTGGTACCGAAGGCAGGAGTTCTCCTTGGACTCTTCGGACTCTGGCTGCGACGCTGCGGAGAATCTCGCCTTCAGCCAAAATGGATGCAAGTACCATCACCAGCATCATCAGCCGCATAACTAGCAGTGGTAGTGGTGGTGGCAGTGGAGGCAGTCGAAGTGGTGGAGTAGAGGTAGGAGGTAGTAGTGATGGCAGTAGTGGTCATGCTGGTAGCAGCCGCAGAAGCAGCAGCTGCAAGGCCTCTGCATCTGGTCATCACTCGGAGGGCCGCGGGGCTCTTGCGCTTGAGTTAACAACTCCTGTGACACTCTACTAAAAGGAACTCCTCCCTTCTGACAGTACTGTTCTTCAACACAGAAGTTCAGGTCTTCAAAAACCGCGAAGTCCCAAAAGCTCGGCAAGAGGCGGAGAAGAACTGAAGTTGAAGACTCTCGCGGCCCTTGCACCAGGCGCATCTCCACGTTGCTGCCTTGGTCTGGTCACCACATTGAATTGGATTCCTGGCACGCGTGCTGCGTGGGGTTCTACAGCAAGTTCAAACCGAAGGGAGACCAACCTCTACAGTAGCCTGGTTGTTGCCGGCTGCCATTTCCCTCTCTTATCCTCTCTTCTCCGAGCGGCTCGAGTTCTCGAAGCATCTCCAGCTGTGAGCTGGTTTGTCGCACACGCAGCCTAGCTCGAAGTTGAGACCGAGCATGGACGTCACTCCAACATACTCCGACATACTGTCGGAGTACACGAACAACGTAGGAGCCGATGCAATCCTCCCGCTTACACGAGAAGATCTTCTGAACTCTGGGCTCCGGGCTCCCAGAGTTCCGAGGGGTTGCGGGACTCAGTGTGAGGCAGTTTGCGTGTCACTCCCCGAAGTGATTTCACTGCAGCTCAGGTTCTAGGCTCTAGACGACCATAAGCAGGCAAGACGCGGGGACAGGCGGTGGCGTGAGATCTCCACGCTGAAACAGGCCCAGCCGATGGGCAAAGTTCTCTCCGACTGATGGCGCCTGCCAGTCAATGCAGCATGAGATGTTGACACGGAGGCAGAACGGACTGGCATCAGCAACATTTGGCAAGAAAAGCATGGAGGGGACCCGCCTCGCTCCAGCTATCATGTGCATTGCGGCTTGGCCTCGGGACTGCCGCGGCTCCGAGCGCGGACGTGTTCCATGACTCCTACTGCTATTGGTTCATTCCACCTACCAGGTGCACGGAGTCACGTGTCATGAACGCAGCAGCCGAATAAACATGCCGCCAGGTTGCACAGGGGGCATGCCCACGATATCAGCATGCCCAGCCTGTCCGAGGGCTCGTCGGCCATTCTCATCTCGGATCCTGCTTTTGCGCTCTTCCCGCCACGAATTCAACACCTTCCTTGTGGCTAAGTCTCTGGCCTTGCCATCTCCGCAAGCCTCCGCTCCACTGGTTCTGAAGCCGGCCCAGGCCCGACAAAAGCGCCTACGGCTTTCATGCTTTCAGTCACTGAACCAGGAAGTGGGCGAGCACCGAAGGCCTTGCTGGTCCGAGGGTTCGGGCTCTTCGCCGAGTCCAAGCGAGTGCTCTCCACATCGCAAAGGGGACATTTGTGGAGGCGGAGCGGCTCCAGCAAAGTCCACCCACCAGGCCATGCCAGTTCCTCCGGACCTCCAAAGCCACGAACTTCGAGCCCGCGTGACACAGCACAAGCATCATCATGAAAATGAAGAGTCACCTGTCGGGTGGCGACGGTGCGCGTCGTGCTTGCTCCTCCGGAGTTGCTCATGTCGGCATGAGAAGGCCTTGCCCAGAAAGAAAGGCCTTGGCCTCCTGCACCGGCATCTCCGGGTGGTAAACCCCCATCAACGGGGATTCAAGCATGCGCCTCTGCTCGCTGGCAGCTGGCTTACATAGCAGATCTCGGAGAATCGCTGAGGTTACCGACTCCGCTTCCTCCGCGCTTGGCAGCCCACGGCCCTGCAATGAGAAGCTTCGTAAAGACGGGAGAACCAAAAGCCTTCCTTCCCCTGCCTTTGCGGCCTGGCAAAAGGTCGGATTCTGGACAAAGTCATGGCGGGCTCCTGCCCCGAGCAGCTCGGTGCACATCGCTTGGCTGCTTCTGCCTTCGTTTCTGCGCCTGGGGGGCCGGGGCCACTGGGCTTCCTGCTGCTGCTTGCGCTGTGGAGTGGCAGCTCCAGCCGCGAGTTGGGCGAGCCGGGCATTTTTGGCGCAGCAAACGTCACCTGCCGAGGGCGCGCGCGGATCGCCGCGAAGCAAGGATGCTGTTGCAGAGGAGGCGACCTCCATGGATGGCGTGGCATGGAACACTCCACGCTGCGCTTCCTGCTCCTGCAGTATGTGGAATTAGCTCTCAGTTCTGGCCACAAGGCCAACTGACAAATCGTAGGCCTCAGCTGTCCGCATCTGCAGCTCTCTTCTGGCGCTCCTTCGGCAAAGTGGGCGAAGGCGCAAACTCTGGAAGCATGAAGCTTCGTCCTCTGTCGTGGGGGTGCTCCGTCTTCCCTTCCATCGCCTGCAGGCAGACGCGAGCTTCTCACTGGCGGGTCTGACGAACCGAGCCTGTGGCAGGACCCTGGCATGGCCGCGATGGCGAGCCAGAGGGAAGCCAGGGAGTCCTCACGCTGGCACCTCAATCTGGCAAGACTGACAAAAAAAGGGATGAAGCGGAAGGTCACAGGGGCAGCCGAGTGGCCTTCCCGCAGATTCAGCGGAGAGGGAGGGTCTGGGAGCAAGAAGCCTGGAGGGCTGAAGCCACCTCAAGGAACGAAGCTCAAGCCTTTTCGTTCGCAAGAATCGCCTGAAAGCAGAGGCCAGCACGTTCGAGACCAGACTGCTGCCTTTGCGGGCTCCTCGAGTTTGGGGATGATGGACTGCGTGCCTGCGAGCCACGACCTGCCATTCCAGAGAGCGAAGTTTGGCGGATGCCTTCAGCGGCCGATCGAGGCTTCCGCTGAGCCTCTGTGGTCCGGCGGACTGCGCGATGAGGGCGACAAGCTGCGAGCTGCGGCTCGAGGGCGTCCTGTGTCAGAAACAGTCCCTGGCACCTTGCAAGGAAGAAGCGGCAGCAGAAGCCGAGAGATCCGAGAGCCTTCTGGCACGATACTCTGAGATCTGGAAGGTGCTCTGTTCGGGCCGGGGCCTCACAGCCGGCCACTGCCAGGTGCGACACTGGCCCCCGTGCCTACAAAGTCCATGCCTGAGCGTGTCTGCTTTCGCGGCGTCGAGGCACCTACAGTGCATGACAAATTAAGCAAGCAAGCTTTGCAATGTCGACTCTGACTCTACGGACTCTACGGCTTCAACATGCAGGGGTTAGGGTCACCACCAAGCCAACACAAAGATGTGGCAGAGCAGTTGCTGCCTCGCACTTGCCCAGGTTGCCGCGCGGCGGGCGATGGAGACGGAGAAGCCCCTGTTCGGCTTGAATGCGGCTGGGAACTCTTGCACCCTCAATGTCAAGGCGATTTCAGCTCACGTCACGGGATACGCAATATCTAGGGCTTTCGTACCAAAAGCTGAGATCCGTTCCTCGCGGAGGCGTGCGGTTCCGTGGTTGGACGGCTTTTCCTGCGTTGCTCGACCCAGGTAGCTCACATACTGGCATTTTAAAAGTTAAGGAGGAGAACATTTCGGAAGAACACATGGCGGGGGGGTGAGCCATTGCTCGAACGGGACGGCCCTTGAGCTGCCTGAGGAGCTGCCTCGATGACAACCCGAAAACACCAACTCCGAACCTTCACTCACACTAGTGGTCCAGAACCAGGCTTTGGCGTTTCGAGTCTCACAACTTGATCGGGTGGAGCTGGTCGGCAGTTGTCGATGTCTTGAGCAAATCCAAAGCGAAGTGCTTAAGGCCCTAGTGCCTGCGGATTTGCTGTGGAGCAATTGCACTGAGGAGGCAAGGAGTCTCCCAAGCGACCCGAGTTGCTTGAGAATTGCTGTGATCCGCTGCCCCGGCCTTTGCGCCTCTATCTGGCAATCCTCATAAACTTCGGTTCTGACCATCGTTACACGATTTCGCCCTGAACGCTCAGACCCACTCAATCCGTGCTTTACATCCGCAATGCCTGGCCACCTGAACCACGCACCCCGGAGCCTCGTTCGGTGTGGACTCTTGTGCTGGCAAGCAAGAACTCACAACAACTGGCGACATCAGGAAACGAGGCCTGCAAACAGATCTTTCAAGTCTCAAGACTTGACAAACCGGGCAAGGAGTCTCGGAGTCTCGGGGCTTGGGCTTGGGGCTTCTGTGCCGCCAGGGTTCTCGGCAAACGCGGCGACTCCGAGGCGGCTCGCCCCTTTGCTTGCTTCGCCTACAGCAGGTCGAAGGAGAAGGAATAGGAGGACGAGACGGAGGAGCCGCAGCAGGAGCTCGTCTCGGTCGTAGTACTACTAGCAGACTAGCAGTCGTCGTCGTCGTCGGCAACGTACGAGTACGAGTGACGACCACGACCACCACAACGACGACCACGACTCCTACGCCTACTCCTACTACTACTACTACTACGACGACGACTACTACTGCTACCAGTAGAAGCACCACAAGCAAGCAATCGCAAGCTGCCGCAACAATCAATGCAGACCAACACCACAAGACTGCGACCCAGCAAAAATTGACTGGAAAAAGCAGCAGGTGACCGCAAGAGGTTTGACTAGCGGCTGCCACACGCTTCTTCTACATTGGACTGCATCCAGCATTCATTGACCCATAGCACGGATGATGAACTTGTTCGTCGTAGCAGCTGCTTAACAAACGGCGCATTAGGGCGCCTCATCTCGTCGACTTTGGGGACTCGTGCTTCGGCTTGCTGGCGCACTCCGGCCATGCTGGGCACCTCATCGAGGCTTGCGCGGGTGGGGCTTTACTGGTACCGGTAGCAACTGAACCCGCAGCTGGAACAACGAAAGTGTTGCGATGCAAGCACGACAAAATGCGGAAGCCCAGCTTACACGGTGGCCCCAAGCTACTCGTCAACGCAGTCAAGTGCCCGAACCCCTGCGTGCCTTGCTCACGATGTGCACGCTGCATACGCTCCGATGCCGCATGGGCCTTTTCTCGCTGCACCCTGCGCGGAGGGGTCCACTCTTGCTGACACGCAGGGATGCGATCAGATAAAGCGCGTTTCGACGAGGCACTGGCTTGCCCTTCGGAAGGCTTGGATCCTCCTGGCAGCCTGTTCCTGCTTCGCTGCCTCACCAAGGGGACGCATGCGACGACTGCGCCTACAGAAGCCTACAAGGGCCTAAGGCATCTTGGTGCCTCGTCCCTTGCAGCCACTTCCCGGAGAGCGGCTTGCTCTGCCATCAGAGCCTTGTGCGCGACCTTCTCCCGCCTCGGTGCCAAGAAGCTTTCTTGGAGCACCGCTTTCGTCTATGACCTAGCCCGAGCAGTGCTGCAACTCACCACAAATTTCGCCAAGACTCCCCCTTTCTATTGCGCGGGCATCTTGCACCCGAATGACTAGCCGTCTTGGTGAAGAGCCATCGCTGTCTTCCACCAGCTCCTCAACCCAACTGCCGACAAAAAACACAACAGTTTTAGAGAACCTGCTTGTCGTAGCTAACCTTGCCAGGCCTTTTAACGACTGGATCGCATGAGTTCTGAGGACTACGAGCGTGCAACTTCCTTGTCGGCCCCCGCGACATGCAACCCGATGAATTAAAATTCAAAAGTCTGGCACCTCGGCAGACTCCACAGGCGAATCTTGGAACTGCTCACGGGGAGATGTCGCCCCTCCTGCCGATGCTTTGGTGGCCTTCTTGCATGTAGCATGTGCTGGCATATGCCGCTGACAAGCTCCAAACCTCCGAACCCTTCTCATCTGGTGTCTCCGCTGACTGGCTAAGCCCGTCATCCTGAACACGATCGTGCAGCCCACAAAGCCCGGACCTGGACGAAGGTCCAGACCACGCTCCCTCTCGCGAGCCTCCACATGTAGCTTCTTCGAAGTGGGGTTCTGTACTTTTAGGTCCTTACAAATGAGGGACCACTTGCAAAGGGATCTACATTAAGGTCAATAAAAGACTATGTCTTGTTGCTTTTCTTGTTCTTGTTGACAGATTTGCAAGTGTTTTCGCACCCTTTGCGAATACAAGCTGTTCCCTCCTATGGCTATTATTGTTTGCCGCTACAGGGTTGCTCCCATTACTCGCGCTGATGCTGCCAGTGTTGCCGTTGTGGTTTCTGCCCCGGTTGTGGTGTCGCTGGCATGGTTGTCAGTCATGCGTTGTTATTGCTTACGTCTGGTTTGGTGACAGTGCTGGATGGCTACCACTGTTGTTAAAAAGCTACGCGTACCGTGGTATTGCAGAGAAGTGTTTGCAATACCGTGCCGCGACGACCTGGCGGGACTTGCATCATACGGACAATGCTCTCGCTGACAATATAGTAGGTACTGATGCTCGTTCTGATATGTCGGGCACATGGACACTGCGTACCATACAGCTACTTCTGCCTATAAGACCGACAGCGACATATGTACTCGTCATGGTTATACTTATACGCCCCAGCAGGAGTGCAAAGAAGATCGGTCATCATCAGGACTGTCAGACAGAAGTGATAACTGTATCTGCAGGGACCCCTTACCGTGCTGTCCTCCAGGAAAGCATGTTGCCGTTCGCGTTCGAGCTGATGCTGCTTGGCTGCTAAAACCCTGTCGACTTCTTTGGCCTGAGACAGACATGCAACTAGGGGTTGCCTGAGATCAGGGATGGTTCCATGATCGGGATCCTGCTCAGCTTAGGGTGGCTGAAACACCGAGATTGGTGCTGGGCACCCTGAACAATCAATCACGTGTTTTCGCAAATCCTCAGCGTGAGCAGGAGGTTGAGCCGCTGAACGGCAGCCGAGCCACTTGCTCTTCTTGCCGGCGCTTCAACTTGACTTGCAATGCCAGTTGCTTCAATTCCATTTGCCGCATCTGAAGTTGCAACGCCTCACGAGAAGTTCCGACACGAGCAACTGATAAGCTTACATCGTCCATGAACATCACCGACAGGAGACGCCTGCTGCGCCTTTGTTGGCACATTGACCGGACGTGTCGGTGCAAACGATGGACCGGGTCTCCGTCGCGTAGATGATGCAGCACCGTGCCTCAACAGGATATCGGGCCCAATCTGAAGCCGAAAAGCGGTGCGGCCGGACAACCAGGAGGCCTCGCTGCATCTTCCTCTCGTAAACCTGTCGTTGCATGGGCAAGCTTTACCCCTAAACTAGTCACAAGGAAACACGTACTCCGTCTTCTTGCTGCTATGTGAAGTGCTTCTTTGGTACGCGAGTACTCGAACAGATGTATTCCGTCAAGCTCAGCTGCCTCTGGTCATGCAGCCATTACGAGTTTCAGGCACTCTGAACCTCGATTCCTTGCAGTGCTTTGTCACCCTGGTTTTGGAATGGTTCGCACATCGACCCTCCTGTCTCTTCACATGAGTACTGCAACGAGCTGCTGAGCAAAAGCGCCCGAATCAGGCCATTTGCCCTGCCTGCTCTGAAAGAATCATGCACTGCCAAAGGTGCTGTCTCACCAGGCACTGGTGCATCCCTGTCACACAGGCTCACCGGCTGCCACAAGCATGTCGGGACAAGATAGATGGCTTCATCCCCACTTATGGCCGAGGTGCGTCATTAGAGACGTGCTGGACCATCAGCGACAAAGTTTGATCAGCCCATGGCAGAGAAGGTACGTGTCAGTCACACATGGAACAACGCGTAACTTGCAGCCGAAACTGCACCCAATGTGAAGTATCTTACAAGCCGTGTCTACGTCTACGTGCTGTCTAGCGAGGGGGCCCCACTCCGAGCTGTCGGATCCAAGTGCGAAGTCCAGCACAGCCAACACGCACAGGCCATGCTACGGAGCACAGGAATGTGCAGTATCAACGGGAGCTCGGCAGAGGCCCACGGTCTTCCATGAGCTGCTGGACCTGGCTCGATCAATACTGTTGGTAAACACCGGTAGCTACAGCAGGCTGAGTTTCAGACATCTACGATTCCCAAGCTCTCACTGTCTGGCAGGACCTGGGCATCAACATTTCCAGAACCTCTCTGAATGTACCAACCAAACCGTTCAAGCGTAGCGCCGTGATCTTCGCCATGGTTTCGCCTGGTCCTCACCCGGCGAACTACAGCGACATGGCTTTTGACACCCGTGCGAGGCTTCTAGGAACGTGTTCGGCCTTCTGATCCATGCCTTGACGTGTTTGTTATGTTCCTTTTTTACTGTCACAAGTCCCAACCCATGCACATGACTCATGATGCCATCTGACAGTGGCGTTGTCGGTGATCTGGCGAGCCCTTGCTTCCAACCAAAACGCTGCGGCACATGACTTGGTTTCCCAAGGATACTGCAAGCAGTTTACGCTAGAAGCTATCGCCGTGGAGACTCGCATGCTTGAAAGCATGCGGTCACTGGCACCACCTTTGTTCTCAACACCGGCGAGTCGAGGTGGAACGCAAGGCCAACCCCGTTTTAAGGTCAGGCCCAGAAACATTCACAATCCTGCACACTGCAAAGCTCTATTTTTTTCTGTCAGACCTTTCTCCGTGTCCACCGCTGCGACCACTGTGTCCGTACGAGCTAGCCCGACGAGCCTGCAATTTCGCGGCGACAGCAACAGGCTGAAATGTCTGCCCTTCCCTGCCTCAGGGATTGGTGGTAGCGGTGCCCGGGTGGCGGCTTTGGCCTGATACTGGCAGCCGGGAGGGGATTCTCCCAGCACGGAAGACTAAGGAGGCCTCCGGGAGGAAGATCCGGCGGAAGATCGAGGAGGGTGCTGTGGAAGAACCCGGCAATCGGGGAACGAATGGGCGACCTTGGCCATGGAGTGATGAGGCTGCTGAGCCTCTTGGCGACCCCGGTTACGGATTACATGATGAGTTTGCATGCAAAGCTTTTGCACCACAGTGCTTCGCTGCCGGACTTAACGTCGGCAAAACGCCGAACAATTTGCTTCGGCCAAACATTCCCAAACCTCCCATACATCACCCTACCTGAGAGTTAGGATTAGGCGGACCCTTGCGGATCTAGACCCTCTCAATAAGGTCCCTGTGGTCTCCCGAATTACCTGCCAGGTCGCGCTCCTGCGCTGGAGCCGAGTGCACGCGCCTACGGACTTCCGGCCCCAGGAAAGCCAGGCGTCGGAACCTACAAGAAAGGTGTGTACAGTGTAACGAGCTTTTGCCGCTCACACTCGGCAAGACCAGGAGGGGCTCCAGGGCAAAAACAGTAGGCTACAGGAGGAGTAAGCATCGCTTTCTCACTCCGTATGTATCTATGTGAGGGAATGCTTGGAGACAACGTGCCTAGCCTCCGCGGACGAATACCAACACCACTTTGGCATCCTTTCAAGATCTTTCAAGTGCACCGACCACGCCTATAGGCGCTCTCAGGATCAAAAGGGACCGTGAGATTCTTGGCCAAGTCAATCGACTCCTCGCTTCTGCAAGAACAGCATTGTTGCATAGACAGAATGAGCGTTTGTGAGTTTTCTCCTCCGTGTACGAGAACTGCCTCTCAAGCAGCGGCTGGTCCCGGCTCCGGCTGGACTGGCGGCATCGCCCCATCTTCCCAAACAGTTTGAAGATTCATTCCCATGCCTGGGCCTGGGGGCCAAAGAATGCGACCAGTCCCATAGGAACGCCTGGTGCAAGCCCCGCTGCGAAGAGCGCGGAGGACTCGCGGAAGCCACAGTGTTCCTCCAAGGCGCCGCCTGGCCGACACAGAGTGTCTGAGGCACTCCCAGTCCAGACATTTCCCGACTCGCACCTGCGATGGGACCGAGGAACTCGCCTCCCGACATTGCGGCCATCAGCAGGGAGGAGACACGCTCCGATGCAGCAGGTCCTGCAACCGCCAAGAACGCCTGCTCTCCCCTTTGAGCTTTACTGCTGGCGGTCCGTCCTAGATGTCGGACTTCTGCCTGCAGCAGCGGCAGACCGGGCACGAAGAGCATGGCGTTCCCCGTGGACGTCAGCACCAGAGCGAGGATCTGACAAGCCCAAGCCTCCAGCAAAGGTGAAATCTGAATGCACTCTTAGCGTTTAAAGCAATCTGAATGCACTTCTTTGCGGTCTCTTGTAGTATCTTACCAGGAGCTTTTGCAAGCTTCGGAGTCGCTTCAGCGGTCTTAGGCACGGGACATTGGCCAGGTTTCCGCTTGGCAGCAGGGACTCCGTGTCCGCAACAAAGCGCTGCGGTGCCACAAGAATCCTAGGATCCAAGCAACCTAAACGATCCTAAAAACTTTAGGGGTTTAGGGGTTTGTAGGGTTTAGGGTCAACCCCAAACCCTTTTGGCCTATTGCTACTGCCGGGTACCCTGAAGAAAGGAAACTGAGGGCCAGGCAAATCTGCAGCACTACTGGCTGCAACACTCACCCAAACCCTAAACCCCTCAACCCTAAACCTGTAAAACCCTAAACCCCGATCCACGATGATCCTCGGACGGGACAGGATGGCAAGCGGCATTCCCCAAAACAAAAACTGATAATGAGGCATCGGTGGAGAGAGTTCCGGGATGGTTGACGTCAGGGAGTCAAACTTAGAATTACATCATATGCTATGCACTCTGATACTTTATAGCTGTATAGCCGTTGTTAAAAATGCTTGCTCTGCTTTTTTTGCATGACACTTTTTCTGCCAGAAAGCAGGCCCAGTGTCACGAGGCCGAAGCCGACGGATTGCAGCGCTTCCAGGCTCAGGAGCTCCAAGCGCAGGACTTGGGCACCTCCGAGCACTCTTAGGGTTATTAGTAGGGTTTAGGGTGTAGTAACTATATAGTATTATATAGGACTATATTTGTGCCGTGGGAGGACGAGAGGCGGAGAGGCGGGGTGGAAGCCTGGCACTCTCCGAAACTCGACACTTCCCAATGTCCGAAGCTCCGGAGCTCCAAGGCTCCCGATTCACAACCCGTGCCGAAGCTCCAAGGCGCACTGCCAGGACACCAGCAGGTACGTCAAACTTCGCAGCGAGCCTGAGATCTTCCAAGGCAAACAAAGGCTGCTCCAAGAAGCATCGACAACCCGTACCAGGAAAGAACTCCATTTTGGCTCAGCAACTGATGGCACTGACTGCCGAGACGGACAGAGGGCCCAAATGTGCCTCAGCACGGGCTGTTGTGGTGATTGAAATGAGCACTGCTAAGAGCTCTAAACTCTAAACGCACATCTTCAAGTCTTAGAGGTTTTACTATGGCATCCTACAGTTTCGACCGAGTTCCTCCAAGTGCTGGGGCAGGGTGGAATCCATGAGACCTGCTGGGATGTTTGAGAAAAGCAACTCACAAGACGCGAGCGCTTGCTCCCGGCCTGTCACCATGTAAGCGGAAAAGACGCCTCGGAGAAGCACTGGAGGATTCCTCTTTGTGGGGCAATGACCAGGAAGCAGGTGGAGCTTCGGACACGATCCCTCGTTTGCAGATGCGGCGAGTGTACATAGGTCTGGCCTTTGATCAAATTGTGAAGCTACACGGCCTTTCATCAAACCCCTAGTTAGAGCAAACTTAAGCCTCCCTCCCGATTCCACAAAGCTCCAGTGCCCGGTATCATGCAGAAAGAAGCTCGAGGTTTGAGACCGCAACTTGTGGACTTTACTTGGGAGCAGAGTGGACGAAAGCTGGGGGCGGGCAGTGGCGCATCGCAAATGCCACCTGATGCTGGCAAACGAATTTGTTTGAGAAGTGCTCCTGATACACTGTGACACTGTGATGTGCAGTGGTAGGCACACGACTATCCCGCATGTGAAGGCATAAATCCCAAGCCTGTGCTGAAGGACACATTTGGCAAAGCTCGTTCCTCAATGCAAAAGACAACTCTAAAACGCTTGTCCACCCTCCTATAAAAGCATCGATGCTAGTCTTTGTCATTAACGAGTCGGAAAGGAAGCCTGCTGTGAACGCAATGATGGCGGTTCTGCTCTGTCGAGCTGGCAAGGAGGGGGGGTCCACCCAATCGAGAGAGCAGCATTCTGAATTGATCAAGGAGCAGTAATAAGGTGAGGTGAGGGGGGTCAAGAGAAAGGCTCTGTTCCGACATTTCCGACCCAAAACCAAACTTACGAACAACAGCTCCCACAAAATCCAAGGAGCTACAGTAGCCGTCGCGGTAAGCCAATCACAAATATCACAGAAGCAAGTGGCATCTTTTTCTCATGCGAGTACTTGGGCCCGAGCCTGCCACTGTCACGAAGATGCGTAGCGTGAAGAAAGCCTTCCAGGAGTCCTGGCATCGTACCAGGTTATGATGCCTGCAGCAGCACAAGCAGGACATCTGGAAAGATATGCGCCTCGCAACTAGCATGCTCAGTCCTGCTTGTCTTCTGGGTTTTCACCTCGATCGCAAATTAGAGGGGCGACGTGCTGGGGCGGCAGGAGTTCAACTGAGGAGGATACCACGGCAGACTTCCTCGTCCTCTTGGACATCGTCCTCGAACATCAGGCCGACGAGAGCGCAAAGAGAAAGCGCCCTCGGCTGCTGGGGCCGATCGAATCTGAACTCCTGCAAACTCTGCACTGGAATCGGCATTAAAAAAGTCCAGCCGCACAGAAGCGACAAGAAAGGGGCAGCCGAAGCCGCCCAGGTCGAAGAGAAGGCCACCGGCAAGTCGCCCAAGCTGCGCGCCCGAGCCAACTGCCACTTCCGCCATGGCCACAGTGTAGGCCACAGCTGCACAAGGAGACTTCGATGCAAGGGCTCAGAAAAGCAAGCGTCGTGAGCAAAGTGCCTGTAAAGCTTCTCGAAATCAAAGTGGTGTTGGCCGCCATGTAGTATGCCTGGCTGATGCCTCACAACATAGACGGATTAGAGAGTCAAGTCAACCGTCCCTCTGCCTTGTGTGAAACGGCATACAAGCAGCGCCACAAAGACAGCATCCGGTCCTGGAAAGCTTTCCGGTTCAGGAAGAGTTCAGTAGTCATGAAATTAATTTTCTTATTCGGGCTATTTTGACAAAAGCTCCTCTTCCCGCTTCAAAAGCGCAAGACGCATGAAGTACTCGTGGAACCAACATTACCAAGCAAGCCAACCGCTTACATGCTGGGCTCCTGCAAAGTCGTGCACCTGGTGTGACAATGCCAGGAGAAGAGAACCTCAACTGCGGGCCGGTCATGCTTGCGGCACTCCCCAATAACGATGAGGTGGGTGTCCCAGCCAAGTGCTCGGCTCAATGCCATGAACAGCAGAGTCCAAGAATGCAAACGCAGGATTTGTGAAGACCGCTGTGCCTCCCGAACACTCAAAAAGCAAAAAGACACGATATGACGGGATCTGCAACGGCAAGGTGCGGCAAAATCAAGCCACCTGTGCCGCTGCACACGGTGTTGCAACGAAGGCGCCCAAAGGGTACACGGACATTGCCTACGTGGCAAATAGTGCATATCGCACAAATTAGGAGTGCCTTGCAGACAGATGCTGAACTAGAGCCGAGCGTGCTCGCTGCTACTATAGAATGCAAAAACAATGCATCTCTTGGGGGACGGGCAAATCCGACGTGCGCTGGCGTCTGGTGAAAATCCCGCGACATAACCAGCGGCAAGAAAGGCGTCGGCATAGCCCGTGTCCAAAAAGCCAGTCCTGCCAGCGGGTGAATGACACGTTATCGGAAAAAGCGCTTTGATTGCGAAGGCAGGCGTCGGCTCTGTCAAAACGGCTTCGCACACCGGCTCTCCGCAACGAATCATCGAATAATATCGAGTGTGGTGGCGTGGTACAATGCCCGAGCGGTCCGGTTGCCAGCAAGACATAGAAGAAGAGCGAGCTGTGTTCCTGCTGCATAAGTTCATGCATTCGAGCTTGGGCTAGGTGGACATGTCAACTTTTGCTAACATATCTCAGCAATGAACCTTTGTTTGACCGTCCACCTCCTTTTCGGCCATGCTGCCATGGGGGATATTGCAGCTCAAGCTGACAGCAGTAGCCGCGTTGGGCGAGCCATGTGCCACATCAAGCCCTTGCCCGTGTTGCATCCGACATCATCTGATCGGCACAAGATGAGTCAGAATCGGGCCCGATCCCTCAGCTAATTTGGCTCACGTGTTACGAAACAAGACTTCTTTGTGCCAAACAGCTCCGATGTGCAGAAATTCGGCCTTACTGCCACAAGCACTCCCTCCACCTCTGCACAAAAAGCGGATTCACTTACGACCTTCTCGTCAACACTCGGGCATGCACCCCGTGTCGTTGCAGGTGAAATTCATGCTTTGGCATCTGTTCCCGAAGATCCTGCGGTTCAGCCGGCCAGTGGGAGCAGCGTGTACTCGGGAGTAGCTTACAAACCGTCAGCCGTGAACCCCAACCTGTGCGTCCCCGAAGGAGAGGAGGCGGCAACCAATAGTGAGGGCGCAGTTTGCAACCATGATCCGACAAAGCTCGTTGAAATCCAGCGTGTACATGCAGCTTCCACTCGTTTCGGGGCTTGGATTGCTCCCACTAGAATCAGAACGTGTTCTGCACTTGCAGTTTTCGATTGTTTCAGTGCACGTTTGCTTCAGTTTGTGCGAAGAGTCTCCTGCCACGCGAAGATTTGATATGTCGGGCTGTGCTCGTTCAAACCAGCGTGTAGTTGCGCATCTTGGTCTGTGAGTCGACTTCTTGCGGATGGGTCGACTTCACGCGAATCTGGGCGTGAGCTTGGGGAGAGCCGACTTCACACACCCTGGGTCGACTTAGTCCCAGCATGGCCCAGCACTTGTAGAATACGTGCTGGCAAAAGCAAGGAATCGTTAGCCGGTCAATTTGCCGACTCGCCTACACGTACAACGCTCACTCATTCGGAAGGCGGTAGTGTTCGCAAGGCGTGGTTGGCGCGTGGCGATGCGCCGAACAGCAGCAGCAACCAGGCGCACTAGGGGTCCGGAAGGTGAGGTAGCTCGACGAGCAAAAGGCGTTCCTCCTGAAACCGCGCGTCAGCCCAGGCCTGGACGAAGTCGGCGTGCCCGACCGGTGTGCCCAGCACCACGATCCCGCGCTGGGCCGATGTCGCCGCACCATACATCGTCACCCAGCTCAGCGATGCAGGGCGGCGGCGGGCGTTCTTTGGCGGCTGTCACCCGTGTCTTGCTGAGGTTGGACCCGATGCCGCAGTGGTCAGCAATAGCGTGGGTGGCAGCATCCAGAGCAGCGCGTGCGCAAGCGCGCGGATCGGGGCTGTCACGATGAACAAGTGTCCAGGAAAGCCATCAAAGTGTTGGGATGTGTTTCTCAAAAGTCGTCTCGCTCCGGCGTGTACATGAGAATTCCGATCAAACGCGCACAGGGCTACCTTTGCACTAGCCCTTCAGCGGTGTCAAGAAGTGGAGAATCTGCGACCCGCAACCCGACGAAGCTTGACCGAGCATTCACCGCGTGATGTGATCTACAAGTTAGGCTAAAACCTCGTAGATGTGTCGCTTTTGACCACAAAGCACTACCTCGCGCGGACCTCGCGCGGGCCTCGCGCAGGGCCGCCTGACCTCTAGGCCCCGTGTAAAACCCAGGTTGTGGCCCGCGCGGGCACACGACCAAGCCCGGCCGCTCGCGTCGCTGCCAGCTGTTTACAGCGGACTCGGCTTGCAGTCCGCGCAGCGCCCTGCGGCGTACTGGGCAACATGGATGGACGCGCTCCCTGCCATCCGGTCTCGCCTGCCCGGCGCAGCTGATCGTCGCTTGGTGGCTGTGGAGCAAGGCGCAGGGGCGGAGGACCGCAAGAGCTCATTGTTCTGGGCTCGGAGGTGCAGCACCTAATCCGCGTACTGGTCCGCGTACGGTCGCAAAGAGCTCCGCCAGCTCTCCCCCGCGCGGCCGCTGCGGGCTGGTCGCGCCGTTGGTAGGGCTTGCTGGCCGTTGCGCACGGCACTGGGGCAGGCTTGGCCAGTGCCGATCCATCCGTGAGAGAGGGATGAGCCGCCTTTCGAGCAATTGCTCGAACTCGCCGGATCAGCAGCGAGCCCCAGTCGCTTGCCGCTGCGCTCGTAGCAGTTGGCGGCGACGCGGCGACGACCCTACGTAGCCGTAGCTGCGGTAGATTGCCTGGGTTTTGGGCATGTGCACTGGGACCGCGGAGTGGACGGACGTAAAAGAGGTGTCTGCGAAAAAAATTGCGGTAGCAAGCCTGCCCCTGGCAGCACAAGGGACAGTCACCTTGCAGGTGGAACAAAGGCATGCAAAGAAAAACTAACGTCGCCACACAACTTGCTCCCAAACTATGCTTCGGAATATTCATCTGCTTGCGGGGGTGAAATGACTTCCACTTAACTGTTCTTACGAGTTTTTGTTTTGCCGCACTTTTCTGCGACTGCAAGTCAAACGACAGCCAAGTCCTTGTGCAATCTGCGGAGTACGGTGTGCAGAGAGCGGGAGCTCTAATGGGCAGGGAACCGGGTGGGCTCTGGAGCCTCCTGCCAGCAAGCATCCGCAAGGAGCTCGCGCAGAGCACTGTGCAGAGCTGTGGGCGGGCCAGCAGCACAAGGCTCCGAATGGAGGGTGGGCTCCAAAAGGGTGGCGGCGAGCGCACGCTGCGCAGCAACGGAGATGAGTCCGCGCCGGCGGAGAACGCACGCGGTCTGGGCAGAGCTGCGGACCGCGGCAATGGCACTGGCTGCACGTGCCCGGGCCAGCAAGCGGACAAAAGTTGCTGCCTCCTCGGCTCCGGTCAAGCTCGGGGTACGTTTGCCGTCGCTTGCGCTGGGTGGCAAGCCCAGTCCATCGCGGGTTAACCCCAACCTCGACACCAACTATTTCAAAACACAACTTTTTGCCGTTCGCGCGGTCCCAGTGCCTTGGCGCCCAAATCCAGGGCCAAGCTACGGAAAGGCAGCAAGGCATGTCAGGGCATGCGGCTGGCAAGAGGAGGTGGAGCCGATGGTTCGGCGAGCAGGTCGCTGAGGAGGAGGGATCTCCGTCGACATTGGCAGCCGCAGAAAGCGGTAAGGAGAGGAGGCTGCTCGCGAAGGCACGGGCAGCGGCACATGCGAGCAGGGCGGACCACCGCAGCACGTAGGCAGAGATGCAAGCACTCTGCAGGGGTGGGGGAGCGGACCGGGCTCGGGAATGGGCAAGGAGCCGGAGAAAGGTAACAGCTTCCGCGCTCCACCTGCCGCCGGTTTCTATGCCAAGCACGACTAAGCGGCTCCGGAGTTGCAGAGTTCCGGGTAAGTGCGCTCCTTCGCCCGGCGAGCGTCTGCTGCCAAGGGAGACACGAGGGTCGACCGCAACCTGTACACCCCCCCAGGGTGGCAAGCCGTTGGCGATGACCTCGATGCGCGGTCGTCCTGTCGTGAAGGAGCGACATTGAGGTCCCGAACCAAGACGTTCGTGGCAACACTAGCACCAGCTTCACGGCAAACACGTGCAGCACGCTCGAGTGGAAGCACCTCTCGCGCGTAAAACACCGGAGCGAGGGCATGCGGCGAGGTGATCCCCCAAAGGGTCCTGGCGACGTCTGCAGCGGCAATATGCGGCCGTGAGCGGCAGAGGGAGCGTGAGGCGTCGCAACAGCAACACCCGGAAGTGTGAAGGAGCGAGCGACAATTCGGGAGAGGTAGGCCTGGCCGTGAAGATCCGCGCTGCGAAGGAGGACGCTGCCAGCCACATGTGGTGTCGAGTTGGGGTTCGTCATCTACATCGCGAGGAGCAGACGTAGTCAACAGCTGGGGCCAGGACAGAAGGGCAAAACCGGATGCAGTCAAAAAGGCACGAGCGAGGAGGAGCGACTGGAGGACCTTTGGTGCAGGCGAACCCCCCTCAAGAGTATCGACGAGGGCACGTGCAAAGGCAGGGTCCCGACAGGCTATGACAAGCAGCACATCGGCCCAGGAAGCCCGTGCATGGCGTGCCACACTGCGAAGACCTAATCCCCCATGGCGCAAGGCACAAAGGCAGCCCCCCTGAGGTCTCAAAGCACAACAGTGTGTCGAGGCAGGCAAGTACTGCATCATCGTGCGCGGCAGCGTAGGCCCTTGTGGCTTCAGGCGGGAGGGAACCGAGCGCATACTGCGCTCCTGGCGCTGCACAGCACGAGAGGAGCAGCCAGCTGATCTGAGTGTCGTGTATGGCCGGGAAAGCCTAAGTAAACCGGTTTGGCGGGCAAGTCACTGTTGCAAGTGCGACTCGATGAAAGCCGGACTGCCGATCGGCACTCCCAAGGCAACGAGGAAATGCTGGGACTCTGGGCTCAAGGCGAGGTCCCCAACCCAGACTTGCGACTCGGGCGCAAGCTGCAGGACTGCAGGAGGCAGCACTCCGGCCGCATTCCAGACCCGTGTTTTTGGAGGCATTCAAAGGCAGTCGGGCCCGTTGCCAAAGCAGCTCCTCGAGGCGGCGGTAAAGCAGTGCAACACGGTCGGGTGGGGCAAGGATGTAGACATCATCAAGGTATGCAAGCACTTGCTCAGTGGGCCTGAGCTCCCGATGCAGGTCGTGGAGGGCGGCGGCGAGAGCGACCGAGAAGAGTGCCGGCATCAGCGGGTCACCTTGCTCGCCGCCCTTAGATTGGGTGATGCGGTGTGACTGGTCTCCGGCGCTCCAGAGGTAAACAGACTCCCGCGTGTACCACAGGCGCGGGCAACACGGGTGCAAAAGCCAGGGAATCCCGCACTGCAGTGAGCATCGCCTCGCGGCTCACAAGGTTTTTTTTTGTTTTTTTCTCACGCCTTTTTACGACTGCAAAGGTCGTCTCAACTCCTCGTGTTACTACGGCTACGCGGCACGGTCCCGGGTTAGGGCCGCAGCGGCAGGCGGCTGGGCCCCTCGTTGGCTGCAAGGTCGAGGATACGGTCCAAGGAAGGGCCGTCACTCGGCCCCTGCTGCAGAGCAGCCGGCCAGGGGCAGCCAAGCGCAGTACTGGCCACTGCGAGCTGGATCGCGACGGAAAGAGCGTTCCACCAGCGCCTCGCCCAGCCTGCGGCCGCCGCGTTCCTGACTGCAGGGGGTGCGCGGAGAGCCCGCAAGCGCACCAGGTCGCGCACGAACCGCTGCGACCCCTCATTCC